TGGCAAGAAAATCTGTCAGATTATAATAGCGACTTTAGTGCGCCTAGCGATGACGACAAAGAGGACGACGATTTCGATGAGAAAGGAGACGGAGATTTATTGTCTCGTAGAAGCAGACGAAGACTGGAGAGACGCGACGAAAAGGATAGACCTTTGCCACCTCTACTTGCCAGAGTAAATGGAAATATTGAGGTTGGTATCTCTCTATAAAGAATAGTAGACACTAAAAATACTCTTTATATATCACGCATATTTACGTACATTATTTATATACATTTTCCATTTATATAAACTATATTTATAGATATAAAAATTTAAAATAATTTTTACTTTAAATAAAGAAATGTGTATTACAATTATTTTGCGTATTTACATTACATTTTTTTACAGGTACTAGGTTTTAACGCTAGACAACGGAAAGCATTCCTCAATGCAATTATGCGTTATGGAATGCCACCACAGGACGCTTTCAATTCTCAATGGTTAGTTTTATTTTATATATTATATATTTCGTATATTACAATATATATTTATATATATCACGGTATATCTGTATTTTAAAATTGTTGAACAATTTTATATTATACTTAATGAACATGTATCGTGTATGCTACATATATATTATACACTCGCGTATTTCAATATTATAATAACGTGATGAAATTATAGTCGTTATTCTTGTATATTTTAACTGATATTTATGCTTCTGTAAGTAATCTAAAATTCGTCATTATTCAGGTTGGTACGTGATTTACGCGGCAAATCTGAGAAGAATTTCAAAGCGTATGTTTCGCTCTTTATGCGGCATCTCTGCGAACCAGGTGCGGACAATGCGGAAACGTTTGCTGATGGTGTTCCTAGAGAAGGTCTCAGTCGACAGCATGTGTTAACGAGAATCGGTGTAATGTCCTTGATTAGAAAGAAGGTATTGATTGCACGATGAGACTATTCCTTTATTTCCTGTATTAAAATCATAGGATACAGGATATATGATATTGTTTACAGGTTCAAGAATTTGAACACATCAATGGTTATTATTCGATGCCGGAAATGATACGCAAACCAGTTGAACCTGTAAAAGTTGAGGGAGTCGGAGATGCAACGACTGGTACTAGTAGCACCAGTGCGACTCCGGCTACCTCAAATGCTCCCAGTCCTAGCCCCGCTGCTACGCCTACTCCTACTTCAACCTCTGGTACGAACAACGAGACTAACAAAACCAATGCCGATTCTTCTGAAGCTAAAGAATCTCGAGACGAATCCAACAAGGATAAAGAGGTTGGTATAAAATGGATCGACTTTTACTGCAAAATATTGTTAAGATATTCTCTTCTTATAAAACACATGTCAACAAATAATTTTTTTTTATTTTAGGGTAGCGATGCGAAGGATTCCAAGGAAGATCCAAAGAGTTCGAAAGAGGACGATGAAGCGAATTCTGAAAAAGATAAGGAAAAGGAAGATGCCAAAAAGGAGGAAAAAGATGTTGAAATGGATACCTCAGAAAAGGAGAAGGACAAATCTGACGCGAAGGATGAAAAAACTGCGACGAAGCACGATGAGAAGATGGACACTAGTGATAATAAAATGAAATCTGAACCGGAAGAAGATGTCGTTATTGTCAAAGATGACGAGGAGGAAGTTGAAAAGAAAGAGGTATTTATTCATGCGGGATGCTAGAGATAAAGAAGAAGCGTGCATTTTATTAGCAGTTTTAATTTATATTTTTTAATTTATTCCTTTTTTAGGAGAAAGATAAAGAGAAAGACGTAAAGGACTGTGATGCAGACACGATAAAGCCTAAGCGTAAGTTTATGTTTAATATAGCCGATGGCGGATTCACAGAATTACACACGCTCTGGCTGAACGAGGAGAAGGCTGCTGTGCCGGGCCGCGAATATGATATCTGGCATCGCCGACATGATTATTGGCTTCTAGCTGGTATCGTTACTCATGGTTACGGGCGTTGGCAAGATATACAGAACGATATTCGGTAAGTAAAAGCTTTCCGAGGCTAATTAATCCTTGATATAAATTATTGCTTTTATTGTTTTACTTATATTTCCTACGAATGTAATAAGTAAAAATATCAACTATTCAGATTTATTTCTATAATGATTGCAAATCGCATCCAACTCCAGTTTCAAAGTTATATAACAATTGTCATTATTCATAATTTTTTTTGTTTTTAATAACACTCGATTACTATATTGCAGATTTGCGATTATCAACGAGCCGTTCAAGATGGACATGGGAAAAGGCAACTTTTTGGAGATCAAAAATAAATTCTTAGCACGGCGCTTTAAACTCTTGGAACAGGCATTGGTAATAGAAGAGCAATTGAGGCGAGCCGCCTATCTGAACCTCACTCAAGATCCTAACCATCCCGCCATGAGTCTCAATGCACGTTTTGCTGAAGTTGAATGTCTTGCTGAATCCCATCAGCATCTTAGCAAAGAGAGTCTTGCTGGTAATAAACCGGCGAATGCCGTGCTGCATAAGGTTGGTTCGATTCCCTGAATGTGTCGTTACGAACAGATGTCTTCAACGTGCAAAGATCTGGCAAATATCAAACGATCTCTCTGCTTTTAGGTGTTGAATCAGCTAGAGGAGTTGCTGTCCGACATGAAATCGGACGTCAGCCGCTTGCCGGCGACACTGGCCCGCATTCCGCCTGTTGCCCAGAGACTCCAGATGTCCGAACGATCTATCCTGAGCCGATTAGCGGCAACGGCGCCCGGCGGTAGCACTTCTCAGACAGGCCAAGCCGCGTTGCTGGCGCAACAATTCCCAGCCGGTTTCTCCGGAGGGCAGTTGCCGGCCACCTTCGCGGGTGCAGCTAATTTCGGGAACTTCCGACCACAATACTCAGTACCGGGACAACCACCGCAAGGTTTCACAGGTTCGTAATCACGATAGGATGTGATACTGTAATAATTATTTACAAAGAAATGTACAAGAAAGGATAATGATTTTTAAATGCAATCTTTCGATTTTCTCGTGTGTAACGAGATTATTTTACGTTACAGCCTGAATATTAAGTGCTGGAACACAATGGCTCAAACAAGAACTAAAAATAGCGCAAATCGAACTGTCCCGCGAGAAAGAATCGTTTTGCGCTGTAATATTATTTTTCGTAAATTGCAGTTTTTAGCTGAATTTTTCTAGAAAAAGAATACGAGGTGATTTCCAAGTGCGTAAAAACATAATACTTTATAAATTACGAGTTGCATTACTTCTGTATTTATTATGTGTACATTCGGCATCTAGATTCAAGAATATCACATTCTCTGTATTTATACATACGTTCTTTCATAGGAAATGACATAAGTTATTTTCTTAAATTTCTCTTTTAAGATCATATAATTTACATCCCGTTTAGCTTTTAATGTATGTCGCACACACGTAAGAGTACCAGAGTACATTATTTACTTAAGTCTATTTAAGACCTTTTTTAATTCAATGCAAATCTCCATGTCGTTCCTTTTTTTAAGGTGCGTTAATTCAAACAACAATTCGTCACTTGTAATTTATTTACGTCTAAATTTTTGCGACAATAGATTTACGTATAAGCGCGGTAAACTTTTACAACATTCACATACGGTACTTTAATAAGGGTCACGGTTTATTTCGATATGTATGTTCACCAAGTGGACAACGGCAATCAGATTAGGTCAAGACTGACATTTGACAAGTAGTTGAGGGAACCTTTACCGCGTAATGCGCACTATCGTAATGCATGGGTTGTACAATTTCGATACGATGCGCATCGTTTTTCTACGTTTTCGCTATTTTAGGTACTTGTTAGAATAATTCAAAAAATTATTTCATGCTTAGGAAGAAACGAAGGGCGATGATTAGATATAAAGGCTAATTTTTCCAACTTCTTGGTAACTTTTACCCGACAGATAGCATATTTTCGTCCCTTTTTTTCAGATAAGTTCGAAAAAAGAGACAAAGATATGCTACCTGTTCGGTAAAACTTATCAACAAATTGGAAGAACTGAACCCTAAAAGATTTTTTTTATCTTTTTCATTTTGTGTGCATTTTTATTAGATAGGAAAAGAGCACGCATAATTTTATATGCTTTAAATGAGCAGAGTTGTTTTATATTATAGAAATCTTATACAATATATATTGTGCATTTTGTTAACGTTCGCATAGTTTGAGAATAAAATAATAGAAACTGTCTTAACATATACACCGATAACATCTCTGTACATAATATTAGATCATCGTATTTATAAAAAAAAGAAAAACATCCGTTAATATAAGATTCACAACATATTAAACTTGTAAATTTGAGAGATGAGTCCCATGCATTACTGTAGGGTAAACTTAATACGATCGCACAACAAAATATCGATCTTAAGTAAGCATACGCGTGTATTGTTCGATCTTTTTCTACCCTGTTTCAAAACTATAGAACCACTTTACTTTCTCGTTAATGAACTTGCCAAATCATTGTTTTTGGCATAGCTAAGTTTCGTTTAAGATTAGTTTTTAGATTCTAGTTATGGAATTTGAAGGACGATTTGAGATACGCGAAATCGAGTGAATGAAATATTATTAAAAAGACAAAAAAAAATGAATCGGTTTGTGTATGTACTAGATTACTGGAATAAATTAATAATAATTAAAAGCATGTGTTCGTTTACTAAAAAATAATATTTTACCTTGCAAGTATGTGTAAGATTAAATAATGTGTTATTATTTAATATTCATTTATACATATATATATTATACGAAAATTGAGAGCATAAATATTTTTTAATAAGCATTAATTCAAAAGAATATTTTATACACAATTTTTATATGATTACCATGAAGATAAACCTAAAATGAAAAAAAAATTATTATTGATAAAACAGAACTCTTTATTGAAAGTCGATAAGTTAGATTGCAATCACTTTTACCGTCGATAAATTGGAAAGGAAGATGCTGATGCTGTTTTATCGAGCTGTCAAGTATGAAGTTATATATATATATTATATATATATTTAGGGAATGCTTTTTCGGACGATTACATTGACGTTCCGAGAAGAGAAGGAGAACGGTGTTTTTACTTGGTTAGGGAGTTCCGTAACTTGTACTTATTTTTCCCAATTTTTGTACACTCGTACTGTACGATATTTCAGTCTTTCGAACAAATATACTTAATAATTACAATAATGGCAACTCCAAAAGTATGGGCGAAAATACAACCTTTGGAAAGTCCTGTCAATCTATTGGATATCACATCAGAACAGCTGGCAGCGAGTATGCAAGAGAAGTATGTATTATATATGTATATAAATATCACTTTTCTTCTGTGACAAATTCTCCCGTTTTCTGAATGAATTTTCATGTATAAAAATACTTCATGTTTAATTTTTTTGCACAGTGCGTGAGAAATATAAGTTGCACATTGTTATATTCTGAAAATTTAAATTAATTCTCGTTATAAGATTAAATGACCTTTAAATAATGTGATACTTCTTCGATGTGTTTATATCTCAAGTTGTCATCTTTCTCATGAAGGAATCAAAACATGGAATCAAATTAATTCGTTAAATTTTTATTTATTGGATTTCGTGATTTCTAAAGTCTTTTTTATATTGTCACAGAGAGTTGAAACAATATTTTGATGAGGAGACGAACAAAAAGACGGATAAAAATATGGGAGAGACGTACGATGCGAGTGATACCAGTAATGATGAAGTTATAGCAAATTTGTTGCAATCTCAATTTAATGGAGAGTACAATACGATGTTAAAACGCACAGAAGAAAAATTCAATCGCGACTCAAAAGGTGAGAAAGAGACAAAGTTCTTTATATGCGAGCAATTATTCAAAGTTATTTTCTTTATTTCAGTGAGCATTTCGTATAGTAATTACCGTAGCTCTTTACATGACATCAAGGATGAAGATAATGCAGATGCTAATGTGGATGACAGCAACAGGGACTTTGATCGTTTTGTCGTAAGTGCAATGATACATATATAGAATATATAGATTACGAGCTTATATGTTATGTTGCATGTTGTTGTGAAATATGCTGTACAAATTGGTTTTTTTTTTAGAGCATAGAGAAAGAATACGCTTCGATACCACGTTGTGGTTACAAGAAGATGGGCAAAGATTCTCAGATTGTTACAAAACATGACATGTTAATGTCTTCCAGAATAAATGCTTGTCGGGTTCTACAATTTCCACCAGGCATCCATACGGGTGACACAGGTGGGTTTGATGTCAAACTGAACAATAAAGTATATAATACTCTGCGTGCATACAGTCGTGCACAATATTCCAAGGAGAGAGCAAAGGTATCACCAAAATCCAAAAATTCGAAATAAAGTATTGAAAAATCGAAAATAAATCTGATAACAGGTATTTCTCTTCCAAATGCATGCCAGCAGTATTCCGTACTGCGTTAATATGGTGGTATCTTATATTTATTACAAAATATACAGAAAAATACATAGCAGCAAATTAATAGAATACTGTGTTCAAGTTATGTCAAATCTACTACTGTGTCATAGTGCGATATTTTTCAACGAAATATTCATAAATCTCATACTAAACAGGGTACGGAATATCTCTGCTCTTGCGATCATATTTATGCCCATTTACTGTAAATACATCATATGATGAAATGATGAATTTGTACATATAATTCAGAGTTAAATGTACATTATATAAAATTCTGAAAATATATATACATGTAATTGAAGGAAAAAAACATTTGATCAGAGCAAAAATACATTAAATTTTTTATGTGTATCGGTATATATTATATATAAATTTATATATAATTCTATGTAAGTATATATATGTATATATATATATATATATATATATATATATATATATACACTATATACATACACATACATATATAAAATTATAAATTAAATATATATATATATACACACACACATATATACATATATATATATATATATATATATATATATATATATATATATATATATAATGAAGATGTATTTAAATCTTTTATATGTATGTGTGTCTATACACACATTTTATTACAATATAAAAGAAAAAGAACTTGTTAGACAGGCAACAATTGCGTAAAATTGTGAAATGAATAATTTTACCGCTATTCTATAAATAAATGTGACGATAGCGGCTGATAACCGATAAGGTTCTATCTTTCTTTTCATATCGTATTTTCGCGTGTTTTAAGACAATAGCTACACTATTGAGAATTTTGCTATAGCTATTAATATGTAAATAATACAAATCTATTATTTATTATTTTGTTTCGATATTAATTACTTATATTACTAACATCTACTGTCCATAAGAAATTAATTACGTTTTAAACGTTATATTACACACAAAAATATTTTCTTTTTCTTTATACTTATCTATTGTATATTAAATTCGGCATACATATCACAAATAAAGAATACGAATAGAATGAAGGAAAATAAGGAATTTGAGTTTTATGCATTAAAACTTGTTCATAATTGAAATACGTTTATATGTTACATACATATCACGTATGCTCGTTAATTTTAATCAGAAGATATAAAAGAAATAAAATTTGTTGTAATATATAATAATTTTCGTTTATGAAATCGCTCGTTATACAGAAAATTTTTAATATTTAATAGGCATTCTTATTTTTATATAATTTTTTTCTTACAAAATCAAAATGTATTTTTTAGTGAGTGCAATAGTGTACTATAAATATCAATTATAAACACTGGTAATTTTAATGAGCTGCAATGTAACAAATGCATACTTGGTTGCTTTTTTTGATTTTTATAATTTTCTTATCTTTTATGACAATCATACGTAATTGTAATCATATTTTTTTCATTCAGTAAATTATATCTCAGATAAAGTATTAGAATGTATCAAATATAATGTAAATATATATATATATATATATATATATATAATTATATACATATATAATTATATATAATTATATGTGTATGTATGTATGTGTATTTTGTGTGTGTTTGTGTGTGTGCATACGAGCTCGTATTATTCTCTCTTGATAAGTGTCTTTTACGACATCATTTTTCCCATGGAATGACACAAAAATTCGAAGAATATTGTATCGAAATAACAGTCGCAATTAGTCATCTAGATCGTTGATGTGCAAGACCTCTCTATGAGTTAAACCAGCATCTAATAGAGTTAAGACATCTCTACAAGGATAGAGAATTCTTCTGGGATAACTCGTTGTTATCTCAAAACTTGCTGGAGAATCTGATTGACTGAATATCCAGTGATAAACGTCCTGAAAATGAAAAAAATATGGTTTAATTTTTATTTTTTATAACAATCAAAGTTAATATGGAGAATAATTCTTAAAACATCTTCTATACTTAAGCAAATGCTAAGTAAACATTTTTTTCGAACGTTTAAATTTTCACGTCTATACTAGTAATATTTCTAACATAAGTAATATTTCCATATATTCATACAATTACATCTCGTGTTTATACTTTAAATTGAATTACCTTGACTGTATCAGTCATAAGGAATCTTCTTTTCATTGTCCTCTCTCCAAGCTTAATTTGAAGATGACACGCGTTAGGATTAGATGGTTCTGGTTCGAAAGGTACTTTGCTAATAGTAAGTTCCTTTTCGAGTCGTATACGTTGTATCTCTAATTCTTGTGCGTTTAACTGTTCCTTCTCTCGAGCCTCTTTCTCCTCCCGCGCTCTTCGTTCCTCCTCTCTTTTGCGGTCTTTCTCTTGATCCGCACGTAACGACTCTTCGTAAGCGCGATCTTGTTGTTGTCGAAGTGATTGCGCTGCGCTACGTTCTGCTCTAAAATATCCATTAAAACCATTTTTCTCACTTGTAATAAATATTGGTTTTCATAATTTTCAAAAGAAACGCAAGTTTTTTTTGATCAATGTATCTCGTCTTTTTTTTTAAGGTTTAAATTTCTAAAATGTTACTTCTATTTACCTTTCTCGACGTGCTTGAATCAAATTAATTTCATTACGTTCTATGATTGTTTGCAAACGCGACGTTAAATCAGAGGACGATGGTGCACCTTCTAATCTGTATTAGAAAAAAATGAAATATTCGTGTCAATTGAATATCGTGATTATTTAGAAATATATGAATATTCTTCAAAGTAGTATTAACTTCACAGTGTATTAACAAATTAGTTTTACGTACCGACCGACTATTGTCATTCTATTGTCTTTCAGTACGATAAGCGCTAAGAAGGGATATGAACCCGATTTCAGCGCTTCCGCAACTTTGTAACCTTCTCCAGATTTTACGTTACATGCCCAGAATAAAGTATGTGTATTTATATACTGTATCACTTGTGGATCACATAGCGTATTTCTGAAAAAAGGCAGATCTTGTTACATTACATCATTTTCGATAATGTTATTTTCATGCAAGAAATTATTTCTTGTCGCAAGATTACCTGCACCATTGGTCAACTTCTTGTGTCTCATCCTTATGCAGATACACCAACAAAAATCTTAATTCTTGTTTCGCATCCGAAAGAGCTTGGCTGTATGAGCCTTGATAAAATACTGGGTGAATGTTACTGTAACGTTCCTCATAGGATCTAATAAAGTGGACTACATCTTCCACTGGATCGGAGGATACTTAAAAGATATTATTTGGACTTTAATTATAGTGTACAAATTATAAATTTATATATATATGATCAAAGAAAATAATTATAATTATTTGGTAATTATTAAAATCTTATAAATTATTGAAATTAATTTTCATCAATTTGCATTATTGGAGATTATTGTATAAGATTTTAATATATAGAATTTGAATTCATGTACAGAAGAATTGTAAATTTAGATTTGCTTTAAACAAAGATATCACAAGAAAAAGAAAAAAAATGACAAGAAATATATCAAAATAGACCAAAATAAACTATTGATTGTTATCTATTATTTACCAGGTCTAACGTTCCTCCTAAATATTGCAAATAACAGCTGCAGGATACTGCTCACTATGTTATAACACACGGAAAAAAAGTAGGATAAGAGACCACCTCCACCACCAGAACTTCCGGGGTAACTAAAATAAATTCTCGAACTACTGTCATCTACAACTTGTGGTGGACGAGCACGCGAATCCTGTGCGTACATGGATGGTCTACCTTCGTATAAATTTAATTGTTCCTACAATAATAAGAGTCATTGAATCACAAATTAAAACTACACACAGATTATATATATATATATATATATATATATATATTGACACAACACACAAATTAAATTACAATAAATATACTAATATGCTTATTGTTGAGAGAGAAGGGATATTCGTTACATAATTCTGTATCTTGTCATCAGATTCAATGATATTATAAAAGTAAATATTCGAAATTATGGGACATAAAAGTTTTTAAATCGAGATTTGAAGAAAATGATGTGGCATACCTGAACAGCAACCTCCAGATTCCAGTTGTGTCTCTGCAAAACATCTCTGCATATCGATAGATCTTCAATACCTGTGAGATCCTAAAAAACGATCGTAAAACTGTCACGTGGTGATATCGTACGAGGAATAAACTTTCGTGGAAAATTAAGAGCGACGATAAGAAGCGTACCTGAAATTGCAGTACTTTTTCCGTTTGATCGCTACTGAGCTCTCCCAAAGCGAGATCTGCCATGACAAAATTTTTCCTCCGACGAATCCTGGGGACGACGAGATGTTCGGACAATCCGGCGGAAAATCGTGCACGCAGTTTACATCGAGTCCATCAGCTGATACAAAGCTCGCATACACGGTGTAGGTTATAATAATGCGAGATCGTAAGCATTTGGACACGCGGGGCTATTTCGGTGAGTGTTTTAACCTTGAGCGTTCGCCGATCGAGGACAGGAGGCCCCTCACGAAACGTCACGACACAATTCGCTTCATTTTCCAGCTACGCGAACATTGTTTTCGACATGACTTTTCACAATGTAATTTACGATTTCAAGCTTATCTCTCTCTCTTTCTCTCTCTCTCTCTCCCTCCCTCTCTCTTTCAGATTCTTGATTATTCTCATGGTGACGTCACGAACAAACTAGTTATTTTTCGAACTCTGTCATTGGCTGAAGATCATATATTTCCCTAGATTCTTCTCAATGCTGAACGTACGATCAACCAATCAGCAGCGGAGAAATCTCTCTCTGAAAATGTTTTCGAAAAATCATTTTCTTATCAAAAATATGTGTCATCAGTGTCATGTGTGTGTGAAAATATTTTAATAATAACATACACACATATTTATAAATTAAAAAAAAATAATTCGCGACTGAGCAATGATTTTACCGGTCAATCAAAAAATTCGTATTTTCAAATTCTTCGGCATGGAGTTTCCCATCTATGTTACATACGTGAAAGTGGCCGTGACAGGAGACTAGGTTAGGTTAGATTAGGTTAGATTGGGATTATGTCGTGCAATGTTATGTTATCGCGCGGATGAAGGGTGCTCCATCGAATCACGCGAAATAAGATGATAAGAAATTGGAAAAATGCGCGATCAGTGATACGAGCTGGATGCACAGACGACGTCCTGAGCGGCGTGGTGGATTTTTTCGCGGAGCGCATGTTGCCTTAATAAGAGCAACCGGAGCATACCGAACGACCTGTCGAGAGAACGACGTAGCACGAAACGCTTGGAATGGATTATGCAACGATCGTCGACGAGGCGGTCAAGCAATTTTATTCGGCGGCCAACAATGAGGCTCATTCGTGGCTCCTGCAGGTGCAAGCCTCCCCCGAGGCCTGGCACTTTGTGTGGCAACTTTTGGATCCCTCTAAGGTGCTTTAATGTACCTCTTGTTTTTCGGCCTCTTACAAGGCTTTTAATTAATTTTCTCTTATTATTTATTTTTTTTTTGTCTAATTTGCTTGTAATGTTCTTTTCTTCTTGATAGTTTTGTAGATTTGTACTTTGGATATGTTATGGGCAGAGCTAGATGATGACTTTTTGAATAAAAAGTAGAGTGTAGCTAGTAGTCAGAAAAGAGGTGGAAATATTCTAAATGTTTTGACTAAATAATTTAGAATTAGTTCATCTTTGTTTGACTTGCGTTATTTTTGTAGTCATTTGAAGTGCAATTTTTTGCGGCGACAACTTTACATGCAAAGATATCCAAACAGTGGGACGAAGTGCCTCAAATTGAATATCCAGTGTTAAGGGAACGTTTGCTCAATAGTGTGAAAAGAATCAACACTCCTACATTTATTCTTACAAAGCTTTGTCAAGCGGTAATATATATATATATATATTTTTTTTTTTTGAATGATTTAACAAAAAGATGTAGTGTTGTAAATAATTAAATAAAATTATCTAAATTATCATACTCTAATTTTAGTTAGCTGCATTTGTAGTCAACATTTACAGTGCAGAAAACAGAGAAAAAAATAATAGCAGTATAGTCGATGAACTACTCAGCGTTGTACCCTATAATTCTCCATCTTCGTTAGAATTGCTACTTCGAGTACTTTTAATACTTCCTGCAGAGGTATGTAAATATATAAGATTGCATGGTACTTAATTTTTACTTAATTGTTATTGTTTGATAATTGAATTGTGAGTATTTGTTAAAGTATAAAAAGAAACATGAATCAAAGAGTGCCAAATTGCGAGAAGCCACTGTCCACTTAATCAATAGCTGGTGCCAAACCGTGTGGCTTCTACAACAGGTTTTTTCAATGTATAGTCCAAACTCTGAAGGTAATGACAGTACATTGTATTCTCTGGGATTGGAATGCGCTCAATCATGGCTCAAGATTGAGCAGCTATGTTTAGAAACCACTGGCCAGCTCTATCCCTATTTATTAGTGGCTGCAGCCCACTATGCACCTAATAGGTATACAGTTATATTAATAAAAGTTATGCTTTTATCATGATTACATCAAATAATTCAATAAAATAACCTTTACTCTTTTCATTACAGAGAAGGTGACGATGATGAGAATGCCAGGAACTGGGAAATAGTACAAGATTGTTTAACTACGATTGTGACACGTTGCGAGCTTCACAAACGGCCTCAGACTTTCTGGGAATGGGCTATTGCTTTGGTATCGATGGCGAGACAGCATAATGGAAAATATTTTTGCGAGATATTAACTGCTATCGGGGAGACTCACAGTAGAGCATTCCTTATTGCTCTTGCTGAAAATTCCAACGAAACACACGTGTGGACTGCCATGCATTTAATCGAATTACTATTGGACTGCTCAGAGCAGAAAGGTCGTTATCCTACGGAAGAGACACGTAGTTGTATACCGTTTGGATTTTGGTACGCGTTGCAAGATGATCTCTCCACATTGGATCAGCCATTGGAGACTCGAGCTTTAGAAGCGATAAAACCTATTTATTTTCGATTGGCCCAGGCATTGTTGCGAAAATCGACATTGCCTGCATCCTCGAGCGAGGGAGGGAATGCGGAAGAACGCGAGCTCTTCAGATGTTACAGGCAGGATGTGGTGGACACGTTGGATTATTGTTACAAAGTTCTCGGTACCGATCTACTGGCGCTTCTCGGACAAAAAATGAGTCGTGAAGACTTAGCGTGGATCGACATAGAATCCACGTTACACGCTTTCAAAGCACTATCCGAAAGTATTGGCACTGAAGAGTATTGTTACATTCCCGCACTAATAAATTTGATTCTTGTTCGTATACCTTATCATCTTTATCCTGAGGAGGTATGTATGGTCTCTGTGCGATTGAGCAATTAAAGTTACGAATATTATATTCTTAAAATGCACAATCAATATTAATATAGTAGAGTACTTTACTCTAAATATCTTTGAAATAAATAATGTTATAAAACAATATTTTTGTTTTCTCTTATAAGATAAAATAATTTTTAGAATTTAAAAGTTTTAACATTTTTTTTATAAAAATTGTCAAAATATAATTTTCTATGTTATACTGTACTATCATGTATCTAATAACATTCTATTTTCAGGTATTAACATGTGCTTGTTCGACGCTGGGCGCGTATGCCGAATGGATAGGAGAACATCCCGAGCCTTGGCTGGAAAAAGTATTGCACCTCGTTATTCAAGGACTAAACAGAGGCTCTATGACATCACAGTTTGCAAGTATGGCTCTAAAGGATCTGATCCGGGAATGCGAGACTCATCTTCTCCCTTACGCGCCGTCCGTCCTTCACACCATTGGTCAGACATTACCAAACGTAGAGCCCGGTGGCAGGGAAGGTCTGCGACTCATGTACGCCGCCGGGAAATTGCTCAACATATTGCCCACTATGGAGGAGCAACTAGTGCATCTCGAAGCGACGTTAGGACTGTGCGTGATGAGGCTGAAAGAGCTATTAGCGCAACCTTTATATACGGCGCGAGTCGGCGTGACGAATTACCTGAAAATGGCTACCACGTTTTTAACAACTATTGAAGGCGCGATCGGTAAGGCTATGTTGGACGGCGTGCTTCCAGTGTTCAATCAGATTATCGCGCATCCCGAGTGGAGCCAGGACAACGCTACGTTGGAAGCGATGCACGAGTGCGCCCAACGATCTGTATTGGCATTGCGACAACCGGAGATAGAGGCACGACCCTTACTTCCAATTTTGTCAACTTCGTATAAGATCTGGCCGCATCCGGCTGCATTGAGTGTACTGAAGCATCTCGTCCTACTATTTAGAAGGGACCCAGACAACATTATAGGTCCGGTGCTCGCAGAAATGAGCTTGATAACGTTGAATGGCGTGAAAGCTTGCAGATCGGTACAGGGTGATCTGTCCGAGTGGTCCGACCTGATGGAGGCTTACTTAGACGTGCTCACGCAAATCTGTAAGAAGCATACCAGAATATTGCTGCAGATTCCAGACCAAATACCGGATATGTTACAGTGCGGTAAGCGCAACAATCATCTCTCGGTATATTTAGAAAAAAAAATATTTAAATCTTCTTACAAACGTAATTATTTTTTTCTTTTCTACAGGGATCGCGTGTCTAACTCTCCCAGAGACCGCCACAGCCAAAGCGGCCGGCCACTTTCTCAATCACGCGATTATGCAAAGTCCGCATCTGCAAACGTTTATTCAACCGATCGGCCAAGAACTTGTCTCCGCAATTCTGCATTGTGTTGGTAAGCGAATAATTCGCTGGTTTTGCAAAAAGATTCTTATTTATTTATTTATTTACTTATTTTGTTTATTTCTGTTATAGGCGGAGCAGTGTCTCATAATAATTTAGATCCACATGCTGAAGTTTTATTAGCATTGAATAAGACTTGTCCGGAATGGACCGCACAGTGGTTACGGACTGGACTGGAGAATCAAAAGAATCTTGCTGCCATAATGTTGCAGAACGATAACATGACACGTATTTTAGCTGAGAGAAAAAGAGCGGCGCGACTTTGCGAAGCATTAAAGGAATTTAGTCTTCAATGTCGTCAGAAGACAGGACAGTGACAATAGAACTTTTAAAATGGACGTTGCACGAAATAACTGATCTAAGACAATTGTTATGCTCTAAGGTAAAACAATGTAATACACAAAAGTTAATATAATTTATCTCTTTGTAATAAATATTGCATTATATATATATATATATATATATATATATATATATATATATATATTGTTTCATACAGATTTTGCATTTGTTTGAATTGTAAGATATTCATTAAACAAGTATTAAATAGTGTTTTAAATAGAAATGTCTCAGTAGTGTCATACATGAGATGCAAGATAAATTATGATAGAAAAAAATATATTTAATATAATATATATAATATATATATTATCAAGTGCCCTTGCTTTGTATTATATAATTGCGTCCGTTAATATAGTTTTGGGAATAAAAGAAAAAAAGAAGAAAGGGAATACGTTGAGAGCGAACAAGATAAATGCTATCAATATAATTAGTAAAAGTATGGTGAGAGAGAAAAATGCAATTACAAGTCTGAATAGAATCTAGTACATACAATTTTAGATCTGCTATCTACCGTTTCCCATATTCTACTTTTTATGAAAAAATGCAATCACAATGTTTTTCCTTTTTAGCAAAATATTTCGTTTATTTATTGACGATTTTCTAAAATAAAAATGTAATTTGCTCGATATTCTTTTTTGTGATGATAGATTTGAAAAGTATTTTTGCTGATTAGAGCGAAGAAAGATAGAAGGGGGAATCTTTAAAATAATAAAAATAAATTAAAGAATTGTAATTTTTTTCTTTGATATATAATTTTAATTTAAATAAAGTTTATAATCTTTCGAGATCATTACATCCAGCTTAAGAGAATGGTCCGAAGATAATTTAATGAATATACTTATATGCAATATTACTCAAATATCTTTCTCATCGTGACATTATGACAAAAATATACATATATTTGTATAATTTGTGGTAGGAAAGATTTTATATTTATGTGTGTACATATAGAATTACTGTACTGAAGAAAGTAATTGTTAAAAATTATCATACATGCGTTCAAAATAGACAGTAACTAGGGAAAACTTTATTTCCTCTTTATTTATTAAAAAATCACTATGAAATGTTAAGAACACAAAAATAATTCAAAACAATATTTGAGATCAAGTTAAAAAAAGAAAACATTCGGTAATCAGTTACAATTTTGCTTTCTTTATTGTACAGTAAAATTTGTTGAAACATTTTGTTGGAATTAATTTTATTCAATTTTGATTTATTCTTTGTTGTTTGTAATATAGAAAAAAAACACAAAATCGTGGTAGATATATATTTCTACTTGTATACTTAATTTCACTTTCTCATCGCCTTATGTATGTAACATGCATATGTTGCTTGCATAATTATCTATCGAGCTGTAAATGCGATAAAAATTAATAAATCTCGCTTTCTTTTTTCGATCGCGCAAAACGCATTAAATGGTAGAACAAATATACTGATACGCAGACCAATGTTACTTCACGAATTTGATAATTATTTTGCAAAAGAAAAAAATAAGCAAAATAAAAATAAATTTAAAAAAATATAAATTTTAGTTTAATAAATTTTTAAACAGTCGAAAGTATAAACTGATCGTCATGTGTGTGTGCGTATGTGTGTATTTCAATAAAATAGAAAAATAAAAATTGAAATAGAAGGCTCTGTCGAATATTACAAGCAAAAGGCAGCTAATTCAGAGTCTAACGTAAACACTGCAAATTATTATTTCTTATTAAAATATTGTCTATTTCGAAATGTACGTTTTCACGTTAAAAACTTAACATATAAAAAATTTATATTCTATATTAATCTATATTTCCTAAAGCACTTTTATGTGATTTTTATTAAATAATCTACGCTTTATAAATTTTATTTTACTTATATTTGACAGTGCCAAATACGATTCGAAATTGATTCAAACATTACGAAATAATTTAATAAGAAATAATAATTTACCGCGCTAAATTTTTAATTAACTCGTCGCCCTTTGTTGAGAGAACGATAAAATCTTAATACAAAAAAAAAAGACAAACATATATCATTATCAAAATCTTCATGATATACTTTTGCTTCAAGGTTTTGTGCATACCATCAAACATTGTAATTTTCTATAGTTACGCGAAAATATATCTGAATAAATAATTTTCGAGCACTCTCATAAAAAAATAAAATTACTAATCATAGAGTATTCTGATGAAATATCACACTATCAGAACATAAGAATTTACAAGTACAAATGATACATAGCTAATACATAGCAAAATGTAAAAAATACAAAATAAAAACTCAACTAATCATTCTAACTTACATTTTTACGTATGTTACGTATATAAGTTCAGTGTGTGTATGTGTGTATGTACATTTGATTCGAAAAAGGATCTACAAATTATTTGATGCGATTTTATATCTAAGTACGAAAGATGTTCAACGCATGTAAAAATCGATGTTTTCATGATAAGAGATAAACTGGCCCGTTTGGAAATCTTCAAAGAAAACTGCTCGATTTTATTATAAAATGTAGAAAACGAACGCGTGATAGGATTTCGATATTATCATCTTGTATGTACATATTGAATTTGTAAAGATTTATTCCATCAGAAGACAGAATAGAATTTTCACTGAGGTTCGCCGCCGTTTGATAAAGGCGGCGAGCCGAATTTTGCGGCGACACGCGATTTCCTGGGTTTGGACGATTTTCCTGCATTATATTGCGGCTGTTGTTGCGGTAGCTGTTGTTGCGGTTCGTTTGCATGCGTCTTCTCTCTACCTTTATGTACAATTTCTTGTTTTTCTTTCTGTAAGAAATTGATGGATTTAATCATAGATATATTATATAAAATAGATTTATAGAATAGATATATTTATAAATATTATTAATAAATATATTACGTAATATATCTATGGATTTAATAAATCCGAATTGATGCGACGAAAGACGCGATATTATAACACACCTTGGGTGACGTTTCTTCATTCTTCTGCTGTTGCTGTTGCGCTTTAGGGCTCGAATTTTTTCTAGCATTTGACGAATTGCTCTCTTTTGCAGCTTGTTTCACAGTGGCGTTTCTACTCTTCTTCTGTGCTTGCAATGGCACGAACGCGGTACTATTCTTAATCTCCATCTTCGGCCCGTTCTGAGGACCTTTTTGTGGACCTTGTTTCATTTGCTGTTGCCTGCCTTGATTGTACGACGCAGCTTGACCAAACGCTGGATTTGGCGGCATTTTCTGGTTCCATTTCGGATAGAACATATTAGGTTGCATAAGTAGATTTTGTGGAATTGGTGGCATCTTCGGAGGTCCCATGGGTGGCATCATAGGAGGTCGGATATTTTGGACCCAGTTATTCTGTTGATTGTTATACCATTGTGGTCGAGGCGCCATTACGACTTTCGCATCGTGAGTCGGTATCTTATTTAAATTTAACGCCTAATAATAATAATAATTTATATTAATACAAAATAAATATATAAGATTGAAATTTTTTATACGCTTATCGTTACCTTATACGCTCGTTTCGCAGCGCTTTCTGTGGCTAGTTCTTGAGTGACGCAAGGATCGCCCTTAAAAATTGCACGATCTATCATAATATGAGCGCTAATCAATCCCGTCTTTTCATCGATGATATAATTATACTTTGGCAAGCCAACTGCGCTGTATGAGTAATGTTGCAATAATTGTGTGCTATACCAAACTGAATGTGCTTTCTCTTTTTTTTGTTCCGTTCGTCTGGCGTGCTAAAAAAATAGCAACATACACATTTTACGTAAAATTATTAAATGGCTATATATACATAATTGTTCCTTTTTTCTCTATATTACAAACAACAATGGACAAATCATATATAAACATATATAGGAAACGTATATAAAAGAAAACGTATATTAGACATACATCAAACATTTGTTGTACCAATGGTGGGGGATTTAATGTTTGATCTTTTTGTGAAACTGACGCTTTTTGAAGCGTCGCCACAGTTGTAGAGTGTTTAGTCTGTTGCTTACTCGTTTGCGCATTTACATCGGGAATCTTTAGCATAGCTTTCAAGAATGCGCTAGGATCTTGCTGTTTTTGGAGGAAATACAGATTTTGATAGTTCAAACATATATAATTTTACAGAACACATTTTAACGCATATAATATCCAACAATATTTACCGATTGCACATTATGATTGTTGCCGAATGGTTTGACCCTAGGCATCATAGGATTCGATACTATTTTCTCAGGTGGTTCGTTTGGTTTCTATATTATATAACAAAGATCTATAAAATTCGTAAAACAATTTTGTAAATCTACATCGTTATATTGTACCTGTATCTTGTGCAATTCATCCCAAAGCGCTTGGAACTCGGACGTTTGATTAGATGGCACGTTTTGTCGAGGATTTTGAGGTAATGCCGCATAAGGCATCGTCTTGGAGCCTGATTCTACCGTATTTTGTTGTACCATCATACCCAAACGAATGTCTCTACTTAATTTTTCGAGTCCTTTCTTAGCGAGATGCATCTGCGGATACGACTTCGATGACTGATCGTTTTGATTCTTTTTAATAGGAGAAGCTGGATTTGCGGTCTGTTTGCGACAATCTGTCGATTCGTTCGCTGAATTTTTTTGCTCGCTTCTTTCGCCGAAACTGATATTTATAAAGTCCGTGGCTGCCAAACGATAGCCGCGAAACGCAGAGCAACCGCTTAATGTAAGCCCACCTGTAATAATAAAAATCGTTAGACAGAATATACTGTAAAAGTTTTCTTTTCATATTTCAGAAAATAATATCCCAGAAAATTATGTCATTTCGACATTTAATGACGTCCGTTTCCTACTTGGGATGCTTACCGATGAAAGGCTGATCGAACAAAACGTCGTACATAATATCTGCGGGATTACTCGCTTTTCGTACTCCTATTATAGTACCCTTGGTCCCGAGAGGAACACTGAAACCGCTTCGAACGCAACATATCCTGTCAAACAAACGATTCTGAGAATTCGGATCGGGCGGCACACTACGCAGATGTAATTCAGGTTTGAAGAGCAAGTGTGGTTTCACTTGTATAAAAACCACATTGGTATATTGAATCTTTAGGTATTCCTCTATTTCTTGCTCGATCAGTTTCACTAGTTCCGGTTCGACGATATCCATCCCACAGGCGCGACTTTCTATACCATTCAATTGTGTCTTCAGCCATTCGACTGTGTCCTTCAGTTCATCCGATCTATAACGTATCATAAGTTAACGATTTTTTTACATATCATAAGTTAAAGATTTTGATGATGTAAAATACATTAAAATACACAATGTACCCCTTGTCGAATAGCTCCTCTTCTTGGAAAATGTCATTTGTTACATTTTGAGCCAAACGTTCAAACAAGTTGGGACATTTTATCATATAATTGCGAATCAATTCAACTGCTTTTGCACTGTACAGCCATTGACTATTCTCCTTTCTTGTATACCCAGGCATCTTTAAAATTTCGATGTAAGTAGAGAAAGAGAAGGAGGAAAATAGATCCACAAAATGTACAGATATATAATAATGCATCAGTTACATCTATAAAATTGTTTAATAATATAAATATGAAATTTGTATAACAATTTCTCACCTCTTCATTCTTTTTATTGAACTTCAAATTCAATCCAACGTTATGTTTGGCAACTTCCTCTTTCGACGCTTGTATGACATAGATTGTGCCGGTAATTCTACTTAAAAGATGACTACTTATGCCCAGACGTTGCGCAGCAATACTGCCATGCATATATCGAGTCTTTTGTTGTGTATAATCTTGTTTAACGATCTCAAATGTTGGCTCTTTTGTAGTTTTTATAGAAATTTTGATTCTGCGTGGCTTTGGATAGTCCTTATGTTGCACGACCTGTAAGTTTGTAATTGATCCTTTTAATTAAAAATATTATATACTCTTTCGATAAATTGCACAAGCTCGATTAATTTATCAGATTACTTATCGTATTGATAAATTTAACTATTTATCGAAATTCTTTTAATTATCATTCTGATGTATAAAAAACATCCAGTACAATTATACCTCGCCCATCGCGCCATAATAGGGATGTCCCAACATAAAACAGAAAGTGCCTGGTACAAAAATATCATGCATAGTTTTGTAGACCGGTAGTTTTCTGCTGTAGACAGAAATGTCTTCAACCACAGTCTGATAAGCGTAAGCCATGGGAAAATCGCTCCATTGTTTCTCAAATGTTACTTTTCCCTGAACACCGAAAATGTACTTGCTACCCAAGTATGTGCGGGCGAAAAGCAACACGTTCGTATCGCCTACATCTATCCCAAGACGCGACATATGTCTAGAAATGAATATTATTATATCATCATATTATTATATCATCATATTCTCATATCATTTTTATTTTATTATTATTAATGTTATGTTTTAGAATTTAATCTTACGTTTCTCGAATTTGTTTATTCTGTGTACTCCATTCTGCAGCCAACAAATCCTTTACTTCTTCTTTTTTCAAATTATTATTACTATAACCCTCTAGTGGATTAATTAAACTGAATTTCACTCTGTTGTCAGCCACGCCAATCACGAAAGCCTCCTTCAAATGAGGCCACTCCACGTACACACTTTTTCCCAATAACTTCGATGCCAAGGTCAGTAAATCAGGGGTTTCTTTTGATATTATACTTAAAATCATATTTTCTCCCATTGATGGCTGTTGAAATACTTTGACCTGAAAAGACACTTGTGTAACAAGTTGTTAAGAATCGAATGTTGAACCTCAATGAATGACATATGTACCTTCGCTTTTTCTAAATGCGCTGTATGCTGTAAGTGTCGCAATATAGGAAATCCTGGATAATAAACATCGAGATCGAAACCTGAGGACAATCCTGCGACTAATTGTTCTCTCGGCACAAAAATTTCGTCGCGGTTTATTAAATTTAAATGAGCACAATTGGTAAATTCCGGAAAGTATATAGTTGCCTTCTGAACACTTCGAATTTCATCACTATGCGAATATAAACACATTGGCCCATGTTTGTTTCTTGTTTTTTCTTCATCCGTTAATTTCGGTAAGTGTGGCTGCATAGCTATCAATAAATTTTGCATAAAGATATTTATGTATTTATTTTATATTTGTGTGTTTTAAGTATTTAGAAGGTTCTATAATAAAAAGTATAATTTGAATATTAATGTTTCAGATAAATATTATTTATATCTTTCAATTAAAACTTCTATTAGATATAGAAAAAAATATTGCTTACCAGCCAACAACAACTTTTCATTGATAAATGGAATAAGCACAACTGCTTCCCACTCCTGCTTTTTTCCATTTAGATCAGTTTTAAAATCATGTGGATAATAATTTACAATAGGAGAAGACTCTTCCGTCAATAGCAATTGGAATGCCTTTGGTAATAGATCCTTACTATTTGCAGGTAACACAGCTAATAATTGTTGGAAAGGTAAGAATGGTTCTCCCAAATCAAATTCTAATTTCAAATCCTTAAAATCTTTTATGTCTGAAATGTATGGGGCATAATGATGTGGATAATACCATGACCAGCTACAACATCCATGATAATAATAATGCAAATTCCATTGTATCGCTCTTACATAGCCCTCGGCTTGTAAACGTAAAACTTCTCTGAAATCCATGAAAAAATAACAAAATTATAATTTTTAAGTATCTCATTTAAAATTGTGTAAAATTAAAACTTACGCATCGACATTTTTGTATTCCAATTTGTTCATATAATAATCTCTTTTATGTTGTACAAATTCCATATTGTATATATCACTATCAGATTCATCATCCATAGTATCCACATCAATTATATAATCACTATCTTCATCATCATCATCATCATCATTGAAATGACCTACAGACTATATTATAAAGTGTTATTATTTGTCTATTTGTCTAAGCAATTATTTAGAAATATTTAAATACCATTTCCGCAGTACTTTTAATTAGAGCATCTAAATCTTTGTTTTGTGTCTTCTGAACTATGTTTTCATCATCTTCCGATTTCTTATACACATGACGTTCAGTTTCATTAGGCCGTCTGCCTGTTTTTACCTTCAAAATATTTTAAATCCGCGTAATGTTCATTAAATTGTTCTAAGTCTAAACGACTAAGTTTCTCCATAAACTTTTCAAAACGATCCAGTTTTAATGTTCCTGCTTCATTTATATAACCTAGAGTAAAATAATATTTTTATTCACATATAACAATATAAAATAGATATAGTCATGTTTTACAAAGTATTGGTACATTGATATATATATATACCTTCGAGTGTTGGCAATACTTCCATGTATGCACAGTACAGAATTGGCAGTGCACCATTGGTAATATGTAAATTTGGCAAATGGGGAATAAAATCGTTTCCCACGAGAAAACCCATTAAAACCCAGTCGTCGATTATTTTCTCAATATCGAATGGAAAAGACAATTTGTCTTTGATTGGCGAAAATTCATGCTCTATATATTCTCGTAAAAGCGACAAGTGAAGAAGGCAGAACTTTGTCTCCTCAGGAGTCATCTTTACTTGTTGTTTACCAAATTTCACCTCCTCTCTTAAAAGAGAGAAATTCGGCTCGTGAGAACAAAGACCTAACATTATTAAATCAGCATCTAGACCATATAAACAATGCCTAGAATTACAGTCGTAATCTTCGCTAGCTTTCATATATCTTATGTAATCCATAATTTTATGCTCTCCCTCTCCAGGAACCTAAAACAACAATATTTTAGCAATCTCTTCTATTACAATAATCATTTTAGCAACGTTGATACATTACAATATCTGGTAAGATACCTCAGACCCGCTGAACAAAATTTTACATTTTTTCCAAGCATCATCCATAGAAATTTTATATTCCACAAAACGTTTGAGCTGCTCGCCAAGTTTAGCCATAAAAAGTGTTCCCGGAGTTATACAGTTTGAATCAAATCTCTTCTCTTTAGGTATCTCAATACCCTTCGCCTTGGCTTTAGCCTCTTGAACCTCCGCATCCTTAGCTGCTCTGAATCGTCGACCTCTCTGCTGATTGATCTTAGCTCTAGGTGCTACACCATCTATCGCCATGAAGAACAACTTTTGTGGGTGTATCATGTTGAATAACACTTCTATATAGTGAAATATATTCTTAAAAATATCCTCCTCCGAAATACGGAAACAGACATCGTCATTCGGATGCGAACACGTGTGTATGATACCGTTCATATCTAAATACAAATAATCGAACTCTGGTATCTGGAAGAAACAAACAGAGAATTATTGAACAGATTTTTTTTGCACAAAATTACAAATTTTATCGCATATTTATCGTAAATCTCGCAGTTCTCTCCCTGAATACGCATTAAAAATATTAAAAAAAAAAGTAGCATCAAAAAAATATATAAACCCTCAAAAAGGCAAGCAGAAGAAACATATATTTTTTTTTCCTTAATACCTGATGTTCCTTTATGACCTCGCTGAGGCAAGGGTATCTCTCGCTTATGTATCTAAAGAATTTCGGCACACCCATCTTGAGCTCTCGTTTCGGAAGGACGAGATACAAAAACACTCGACTGTGCACCGTCTGTCAGGCAATTTGCGCGTTTCTTTGTAAAATCCCGTTCCTTATCAAAATTAAAATTTTTGCTTATGGATGCGCTTATATCAACTTCGCTTTAATGATAAAGCCACGGTTTGTTTGACATAACACAGATGGGAAGGCGAGAAGGGCAAGGACCTTGGAATCGGAGGCGTTTTCGCGCTAAAATACAGTTTTCATTCGACGATGCGCGATTGGCTGTTGACTAGGGAATTTTCACCGCTCCGAAAGTTAGATCCTCCAGCCAATCGCGCGATGTCGCGCTGCATCAAAAGCGGTCTTTATAGTAGATGGACTTGCAGGGTAGCTACCAAAATCTTCAATGATCTAATGGAAATTTTGCGGTTGGTCATCCTGCGCAATTTGTTTGAGTTAGCTCACTGAGTCCGTTACGATGCAAAAAGGTAATATGTATTTTCGTAAGATTAATAATGGAAAAAAATATCATCGTATATAATATAGACAATGTAAAACGCGTAATGCAGCATTCTTTTCTTAAATATTTGATCGGATAATTTCTCTACTCTGCTGCTATTCGGCTGCTCAAAAAATTTGATGAGAGATATATATATATATATATGTATAGACAAAAAGGCCATTTTTGTTTTTTGCATTTCCTCTTTTTCGTAGTACTGTAAAAATATTTTATCATTAAATATATATACATGTTTGAAGATAAAATATTTCGTACACTATGTATATATACATATAAATGTAGCAATATAATAATAAATTTTAATTAAATATAGGGAGAGAGAGAGAGAGAGAGAGAGAGAGAGAGAGAGAGAGAGAGAGAGAGAGAGAGAGAGAGAGAGAGAGAGAGAGAGAGAGAGAGAGAGAGAAAGAAAGCGAGAGAGATAGAGAGAAGAGAAAAGAAGAGAGAGAGTGAGATAGTATGTATTGTTAATATTATATTAATAACCTATATAATACAACACTATATATATAATATATATTATGCGTTGAAAATTATGTTTCTCAAAAACGAACTATATAAACAATTAGATAATTTAATAAAAGGAGTTTTATAAATTTATTATGAATTGTGTGCAATTGTTGTCGAAAACTGTGGTTATGTACTCAGATAGCCACAGTAATTATTATGACATCATTTTGATGTCAAAATTCATCATTTGTCATCAAAATGATGCATTTTGATGCCATAATAATTACTGTGGCTATCTGGGTATATATTAGATTTATTAATTTTGTTTATTAACATTGCTATTGATTTATGAATTTATAATTAAGAAATATATATATGTATAATTTTAATGCATATTTCGGATTTTTTCTAATAAATAACAGTGCATTTTATATATCATATTTAATTGCTAATAGTATATCTATGTGCATTAAGATAAAAAAAAAATATGATTTTTATATATTATATCGCGAACATATATGGATATAAATAATTAATTTTTTGTTTGAATATTAGGTCAATCAACAATTGAGGAGACGCTTTTACAACAGGATGAGCATCATCTTCGAAGCAGTATCATCCTCGAAGTATATTATTCTTGGAGCTAGGATTTCGCGGATCTTTTACATCGAGCCTCCAAGATATCGCTCGAAAATCCTTGAAGAAAAAATTTAATCATCAAAGCAATGAGGCGGTAAGCACGTTCCCAGTAATACATTGAAAGACGATCTGGCTCCATGTTCTCCAGCGCGAGAAATTGCAACGAAGCACCTTCGAACATTGTTCAAATATTATTTTGATCAATGCGTGGTCACGCAGCATGACACGTATTAGCTGTCTCTCGATTCCGCCTGATACGGGTTTCTCCGAGCGAGCGAACCAACGAAAGCGATCTCATTACCGTCGTCTCATCGAATAATATTACGCTGTGATGGCGCGAAGCCGTGAGCGTTAGAATTTCGGCTGCAAGAGAGAGAAAGAGAGAGGAAAAAAAGGAAAGAAAGAGCGCGCATCTCTTCTTGATAGAAGAGAAATCGCGCCATTTTGTAAATTTACGAGGCGATTTTATCGCCGCCGCCGATCTTGTGTCAGGGGAGTTTCTTGTCTTTGTGCTAAACACGTTTGAATAATTAATCTGTTCTTTCTCTCTCTTTCTCTCTGCGTATATATATTCACGTCATCAGGGATGCAGCGCGTTACCACCATGAGATTACGAGAGGTGGCCGTATATACTTATTTGTCCTGTATGCTTAACATAGTCGCTGACGGACAGTGGCCCGACAGATTTTTAAATTGCAAAAGCGGGTCGAGTCGACCTACGAAGATACTAAACTTTATTCTTTTACTTGGGACACTCCGTCTTTTAATCCTGGGCAGAGGCCATTTCTTTTATTTTTCCTCTGTTCTTTTTTCATTTATATCTTTTTGAGAGGAAAGATATATAAATCATTTTTATCAATTTTGAATAAAAATTACAGTGACCATTTTTTTAAAGGGAAAATAAAGGACACACTTGAAAATTTTAAGGCTTTCAACATGTTTCTAAATCAAAGTTTGCGATCAAAGTTACTCTTCTATACAACATTCTACATTCAAAATTTAACACATTTAAAAAAAGATATAACTACATATGATTTATTACAGATTAATTTGAAACTCATGTACATTTGAAACACTAAGTAAAAAATAAAGGCCAAAATTAAGTTTTGAGAAAATGAATAAATTTAAAGGACAACGCTAATAATTGAAAAAAAGGATTGTCCTCTGAAATAAAAGATGGTCACCGTAATAATAATAGAAATTGTTTATTTAGAAATATAGAGCTTATGCACGTGTTTCTCAACAACGTAAAGGAAGATTTCGTGATGCTTATTTTTTTGTCTATATATAATAAAATATAAATTTTTAAATTTTTTTAAGTGCCAATTAATTCGTTCTTTTTTATTCTGCTTCTTCAAGAAGAAATTAGCAACAAAAGTAGATTTAATGTTCGAAATAAAGCTGTATAAAACACGAAAAAGAATACATCTTATACAGATAATGTATATTTCGTATGAATAATCGTTTACTGTTGCTTTACATGATAGATTACACTCGTTTATATAAATGCCATATCTTTGTCAGGATAAGCAATCAATTCTGTTATATATATTTCTCACTTCACGTTTTGAAAAAAATACGAAAAACTTTTTGTTTCTACCTCTCGCTAGATATGTCGGCTTGACTTTTTTTTAATAAAAAAATCCATATCTTTATTCATATTTTGCTTCGATGAATAAGGTCGATACCTTTAGTTGCGTTTATACGATACATGTCGGATAATGTTCGGAAAACGAAACCGAAGTTTACTATTTCGCTAACTAAGAATTTTTTTCCCAAGGAGACGAAGAGGGACCAGAAAGAAAGAAAGAGAAATGTGCCATCTGTTAATCGTTCTCACTAGCAGACCTCGTCGTTCATTAGGAAGAAAAAAGATACCGGGGAGAGGAAAATATACATACATCTTCTACAAGAGGAGGAAAATGAGAAGAGGAAACGCTCGTTCTCGTATTAGCGACGCAAAACCAGAAACGTTGGAATATAAATGCGAATCCCCGTGAGTATGTCCACTAGAATCGATATGCTAAACGAAATGGACGGACGTATAAGTCGGCGAGTTTGAAGCATCGATCGATATACAGTCACGATAAAAGGAGACACGCCGGTCGGCTCGAGAGGACACGACGATGAAGAAGCGGTGAAGGTGAAAGGGGAGGAGGTAGAAAGAAGAAGACGAAGGGGACTCGCGCGGGTTTTAGATCCGATGATATAAGGTGGCATTGATATATAAAAGCCGCTCGTTGACTCGTCGCGTCCTCCGCCCGTGGCCGGGCATACATAATCGGACAATCGTTTACGTGACACACACGACGCCGTCGAGCTTCTCTTCTCCGGCAGAAGCCTCGGAGTTGATCGCGACGCATCAGTAGAGAAATACGTAAATCGGCGATATATAAAAACCGCGGATAAACTTTCCAGGCGTTCCTCAATTGCTCTTGAACGTGATTTTTCTATCATTTTTTTCCTTTCCCTTTCTCCGGCGCATCCTTCCATCTCACGCGTACCCTTTGGATCCACGTTCTCCAAGTCTTCTTCTGCGTCGCCGATTCTCCCTCTGGCTATAGGTCTCGTCGTATCGCTCATACTTATGCATATGTGTGCGCTTACATATTAATTAACTAACTATACCGCAAGAGATAGAGAGAGAGGAAGTTATCTCTCTTTTTCTCCCTTTCGTTTTCTTTCCTCTCTTGTCCTGTCCTTCCTCGGCCAGGAGAAGTCCTCCTAGCCCCCTTTTTTTTTGTCTCTTTCTCGTCGCGCGTCTTCGTCGTAGCTTCCTCCCTTTTTCCCCTTTCCTCCCTCACACCCTCTCCAACCCGTCTAACTCTCTTTCTCTTTTTCTTTCTAACCCCCGTCTTCTCATCGTTTCTCGTCATCGTTTTGCTTTGCACGCTCCCCCCGTTTATCTCCCGTCCACACGCGAACAGAGTCAAGAATCGCAAGGTGTACCTGTCAGGATAAGAGAGTCGAGAGATAGACACCGAGCGAGCGTGACACCGGGAGAAGAGACAATGCTGGAATGGTACATCGGGCTTGCGACCACCCTACTGATCGTCCTCATCTACTTTGCGTATTTCTTCAAGTTCAATTGGATCAAAGTAAGTAGTCATCGCAGTTTCCGAACAACGTGCCTGCGCGATTATATTTTACTTTCATTATTTTAAAAAAATATAGTTCTTGAAACTATACAGCAATAGTATTGATCAAATTAATTTAAAAATTAATAAGTGATAGATTAATATTTGCAGTTAATATTTGAAGTGATTCATCTTGCATCAAATTCTTTTCTCAAGGATAGAGATATAAAGTTAAGAAAGAATATGCTCATTAAATTCTTTTTTTTTGAATAATTTTTTTTATTAGGACTCGTTGAACTTGTTTTTTTTCTTGTATAAAACATTAATTAATTATACATTTGCAATTATCGCAAAGCACCTGTAAGCAAAAAGAGATTTAGAAGCATTGATCTCATAATTAAATTGTTACAGTATCAGCTGATACTTTAATAATCATAACACCGAAAATGCACATTAAAAAAAAACAAAGAAATTTATAAATAATAATATAACGACAATATGTTATATTAACATAAGAGTATGTTAAAAATTTAACACAAAAATTTCTACACAAGATAATTTCAACAGAAATACGAAATGTTTTTTACCGTAACATTCTATTCTCATTTTGTGTTTATCAATTTTAAATTGTCATTATTTATATTCTAATTTTATATTTTTCTAATACAATTAGATTCAGAATTATGTCTAATAAATGGCAACGTAGATATTTGCGTTTATAAATTTTTACTCTCAAATAATTTGTTCTGCATTACTGCAATTAATGTCAACAGGTATTTTACTTTTTTTTTTTTTTTTAGATTGTGTAATTGCTTCTAAAGCTCTAATCCGTGTTTTTTTTGCTTTTGGTTCTTGACTCAACAGTGGCCGCAAAGCGCACGCTTGTCTAATAATTAAAAAAAATATCTTCTGTAATTTTTTTAGAAAATTGTAATATGTATATAAATTAAAGATTTTTTAATTCTAATAAAAATACATAAACGAATAATTTGATTTAAAAATTGAGGTAAAAATAACGTTTAATGAAATGTCAAAGAAGGAAAAATCGAATCTTCTTGATAAAAGCGAGTATATGTTGCGTTTACCACTTTCCGGCCAACTGTTAAATAAATGGAAAAACTTCTTTTTATTTAAAAAACTTTTTAAATTTATGTGACGTTCTCTAAAGATCGATGCTTGTTGTGTTAAAGGACGTAAGAAATGAAAGTAGAACGCGGACAAACGGTGGTGTTTATGCAAAATCCAGAAATCGGAAGGTAGGTAAGCTACCACCAGTATATCCGAACGGATGGTTTGCTTTGCTCGAGAGTTCGCAGATAAAAAAGGGCCAAGTGGAGCACGTGTCCGCCCTCGGCGAGAATTTCGCAGTCTTCAGGTACGTCAAATCGCGTAAAATCTTTTTGTCGAACAATTTGTCGAAATGTGTTTAATTATCACCGTTTTTTAATTATACTAATTTTTCATTTTTTAATGTTCAACATCAACATTAATGTTGACAATTTTTACACGCAATATACTTTTTTTATTACTTGTGAGTTTAAAAATTAGAGTAGATCAGGTGTACATACAAAATATTTTTTTTATTATAGCTATTATTTTATATATAAGAGGATCTTGCAAATTTTTTATATATTTAATTCATTTCTTGGATAATTATCATAATTAATAAAATATGTTATCACAATTTCAATAATTTTTTAAAAACTGGCACTCATAATCAGAATATTCGTATGGTTTGAGTTAGTCTTTTTTTTACATTGATATTTTGTTTTGCTTGAGATGTTTGAAAATAATTACCCGATCTCAAGATACTTGAGAAGTTAAAATAATTCTTACATTTGTTATATAACTTTTTCAATTTCTTAAAGAACCGAAAAAGGCGTCGTAAACATCCTAGATGCATATTGCCCACATTTAGGAGCAAATATGGGCGAGAGTGGCCGTGTTAAAGGAGACTGCTTAGAGTGTCCCTTTCATAACTGGACATTTCGGGGAGAGGATGGTTGCTGCGACAATATACCTTACACAGAAAAAGGTAATTAAGCATTACATTATTTTTCTCCCTTCGTTTCATACGCCGATATTTATTTACTTCTTTCGATTCTTCGTGATACGCTATACCGGATTAAGACTGGATGTTTTTGCGCCCTAAAACTGCATTCCTATATCGAGATCTGTCTGTGTATCTTAAAAGCTTATCTCCGATTATGTATTATGCAAATATTTGTTCTCATTCAGACGATATTTCACGTACAGACATAAAGTTTTGTATTTTATTATTTATATAATACTTAGCCAAATTTATTTGTTTGTGTAAATTTTAAATGTTAATAGTTATATAATTACAATATGTAAAATTATACAGTATTACAATATGTAAAATAGATACAGTATTACATGCCTCATTAATATACAGTGAACTACGTTTACATTACCTGATCAGATATAAAGATCATATATTAATGCGTATTTTTCAAATATTCTATTCATATTTAATCGTATCACTTTTGTTTTTTACATTGTAGTGCCGATAATCGCGCGTGCAAAAGCTTGGAAGTGTCGCGAAGTGAATAACATCATCTTCGTCTGGTATAACGCTGAATCCGCCGAACCAGATTGGCAGCCGCAGCCACACACGCACATCTCCAACGGGACGTGGCGTTATCAAGGTCGCAATGAGTTCTTCATCAGCTGCCACGTACAGGTTTGTCGTGCATTCGATTCTCTAATGCGATATAAAACCGCTCCATCATTGCTTTGTATATTGTATACCTATAAGGAAGGTACTATAAAAAAGAATCCACATGACATAACGAAGCAAGCAGAATTGAATTAATAATAAATTATAGCTGTTTAATAATAAATTATAGCTGGTTGATTTTGTTTGAAAGAGTCTTATCAAATAATCTCTCGATAGTACTTACTTAGACTGGCATTAAAGAGTACTGAGAGAGAGAGAGAGTGTGTATTCTTTTTTCTTAATTTAATCTTCTATTTTTTTAAATTGAAGTGAATAAACAATATATTGTATACGTAGGAGATAGCTGAAAACGGGGCTGACATTGCGCATCTCAGTGCAGTGCATGGTCCAGTCATATTTCTCTCTGGCAATATCCCTTGGCTAGCTCAACACACGTGGACCACCAGTGTGCCGTGGCGACCACACAACTCGTACAGCGAAACAAACGCGGACAAGGAGCCGGACATGATAACAAAGAAAGCAGAAGTGTGCGTCAAAGTGAACGGCGAATTGGTCGATTATCCCATCGCTGGCAACGGTGACGAAAAGAATCGTCATCATTTCGCAGTCACCAAGAACCAAGGGGTCGGTCGAAGGGAGAAGCACAGGGCTAGCTTGCAAATGCGTCACAGTTTGACCTTGCTGGGACGTTTCACCGTGCTAGTCATAGACGTGCGCGTCGAACAGATCGGCCCTGGTTACGTCGAAATGTCGATCGACACGTCACTCGGGTCTATGTGCATCCTGCAAACAGTTACCCCGGTCGAGCCGATGCTGCAACGAGTGACCCATCAGATCTTTTCGCCGCCACTGTTGGCGCCCTACGCCAATATCATCTTCTTGGGTGAATGCGTGATGTTTGAACGCGACGTCGTGATCTGGAATCATAAGAGGTATGAGCAACATCCAATGCTGGTGAGCGAGGAGCGTGCTATCCGGGAATATCGACGATGGTACTCGCAGTTCTACTCCACTCACAGTCCTACGTACCAAATGGCCGTCGAGAACTTGCAGTGGTGACGACACAAAGCAACGGATTCTTGTAATAGACATCTCATACTTATGGAGTTTGAAATCCTGGTGTAACATCGAAAGACAGGTTTGGTTCTATGATACTATTAATATCCGAAAATTGCTCGTATATTTATTCGCGATCGATTAAATCGCAATGATTGTTGTCCATTTCAGACGATTTATAATTCAGAATTCCAGAAAGTTATATTTATTATTTTATGTGCCGTGTAATTCAGAATACACACACACATTTATGAGAATAAAATCATAAACAGAATTTTATTGCAAACTATATATAAATCGTCTAAAATAATATATTTATAAATGAATTGAGAATTATTTTCGTATTCTCTTTTCTGTTACATTAATTATTATTTTAATAATGGCATTAATTTTTGATGCTTAAATTAACATATTTTTCAATATATTTTAATATAACATCAAATACATGTTTATTTGTGACATCGTTTATTCACTGATAAATTCGATGTCCTAAAAAAAGTAAGTACTTAATTAACAAATCTTTAAAGAAGAGTGAGAACTTAAATATTTAAAAGAAAACTTTACGGTAAAACTTACGGTTTTATCGTTATTTGTTATAACGCAATTTTCTCATATAAGTATGCGATTAGATATATACTCTATATATATATATATATATATATATGTGTGTGTGTATGTATGTATGTATGTATGTGTGTATGTATATTTTTAGTAAGTTAAAACATATCGAGAGAATTATTACGTCTAATGTGTTAGAAATAAAATCATAGAATTTTTTATGTTCATTGCAGACAAATATATCTTTTTTGAAATGTTATTTATATATATATTTTATATATAAATATATATATATATATATATATATATATATAATTATTTGTTTTATATTATATATGTTTTTAAGAAAATATATATTCGATATGTCTTAACAATAAGCAAATTAGGAGATTAGTATAAATAATTTTGTAAGTCTAACATAACAAAAATTTCTTCAAAGTATTGATTTATTTTTATTATCTCTTTATATAATTATCGGTAAAGTATTTAACATAAGTATATCTCTGGTATACGACCAAAATTATAAAAAACGATAAAGATTACGAATAAAAATATGGATAACAAGCTTTCCTTCTTCGTCTAAATCTATGCAGCACTTGTATTCGTGTTGTAATACTGCACTGTTTACATTTGCATCGAAAAAACAGTTTATTGTCATTCATGTGCTGACACTCGAGTAAATAAAATAAGCCAAACATTCCGTTGTTTCGTAATATTATTTATCGGAATACGATTATGATAAATATTACAAAATTCAAAACGCACTTATTTTTCTCAAACGTTTAAAGTCCATGAAATTAATTAAGTTCTACGATTAATGATTCTCTCGAAAATATCAACAGATGTATATCGGAAAGATTTGAAAATATTCATTATCAGAAAAAATCTATTGTTTTGTATCTTGTATTATCTTTCACCGAGTATTATCAATTCTTATATACTTAGGCATTAATTTAAGCGTTACGATTAATTGATTAAAGCTCCTTTCGGTTTATGAATCAGTATGCTCAATTATAACTTCTAAATTTATTTTGGGAAATAGTATGATTAGAGATTGCATGCAAAATTATATCGTGCACAATTTCATATAAACAGAGAATGACTTATAAAAGTATAAAATTCTCTACGCCTTATAATTCATATAATTTATTACACATACGGCAATTTTAAAAATGAATAATTTAAAAAAGAAATTTATTTTATATAAAAAAATCAACTACATATTTATTTTCCAGACATAAGAATTAAATTGTCATATTTAAAGCTTTCGGAAAAAGATCCATATACCACCTTTCGGTGTTGGTATAATTGCATTGGGTGTCATTTTCAAAGGTACTTGCGTCTTCGGGGAAAGTTCCAACCTATATTTTCTCAAGACTGCAGCGAAAAACGCCTTCATTTGTAATAAAGCCATTCTCATTCCCGGGCAAATTCGCGGACCTTCACCGAAGGGAAGAAAAGTGAATTTCTCGATACTGTGTTTCTTTTCCGGACTAAATCTTTCGGGATCAAACACTTCAGGATTTTCCCAATATCGACGATCTTCATGCAGACTTTTAATGGGTATCAAGATCTCCGTTCCAGGTTGCACATGACAGACAAGACCATCGGATCCTCTTAGCTCAAATTCTTCCGTACATTCTTTCTGGAGGACTTCTCCTATAGGAAGCATTCTCTGCGACTCATTCAAAACCTGGTCCATATACGTCATCTCCTTCAAGCCTTCATAAGTAATCACACCATCGTACCTGTCGAGTACAGTCATCACTTCCTTACGTAATTTCTCCTGCACTTTTGGATGTGTGGACAATTGAAAGGCAACAAAACTCATAGCACTGCTAGTGGTGCCGTAGCCATCTATAAAGAATGATAATGCATCAGAAGCCAGCATCTCGACATCAAATTTATCGCCTTCAATCCGTTCTAATTCTGTCATCAAATGAAGAAAGTCATTTCTAGGTATTCCCTCTTTCCGTCGTTGTTCCATAATGTCCGAGACCAACGTTCTGAAGAAACGATCAATGTGCTTCGGAATGAAGCTTACCTTAAGGTATTTATTCAACGACGGAACGAGAACCACAAAGAGAAACATGATCGCGCTCCGTATGGAAGGCTCCATAATATCCTTTCCAAGTTTTCGGAAGGATACATCTGGTTTTTCATCGTCGAAACAAAATCCGTCCACACCGAAGCCAGCGGCGGCTACCACCTGCGCAGTATATCTAGAGCACAAGTCCTTTAACTCCAGTTCCACTTTTCCGATTTTGTTCAATTTGTTATCGAGATAGTTCTCGAGCATTACGACTACCGACTTGACGCTCTCGAGCAGGATTTTTAGTCGCATGCTGGAAAATGCATAAGTCAAACGCTTTCTGCCGGCTAACCATTTATCGCCGTAATTGACGAAAGGATGATTCGCCAGAAGAGGATCCACCTCAGGATCGGTTTTTTGTCTATTCATATGGAAGCTCGAGAAATTAGTCTGCAACACCGTTTTCACCAATTCCGGCTCGCGAACCATCAATGACGGTGACATAAAGTTGTAGATTCCTACCATACTGTGATTTTGATTATTGTTGTAGATCTTGTGACAGCATTCAGGGAAAGTTGTTCTCATGCAGAACACTGACAACATATGACCAACTCCCGGCAGGGCTCCATCTGCGCAAAAAACTCCACGATTTTGCCAGTATTTGTTGTATCTTTCTAGATAGAGATAGAGTGTTACGAGCGCTACAAGAATCAAAGACACCAGGATAACGACCATTTCGCTTGTCTCGAATAACAGGACTGAAATAGACGGACCGTTGCAGCCTTGAGCGCGTGTCAACTGCGACTAAATAAGAGAGGAGAGCACACACCGACGTACACACTGATAGCATTGATTAACCGACGAGTAAGCAATTGTACAGATAAAATAGATAAAAGTAGCAATAAAATTTGCTTTGATCATTTTCAGTAGTTACTCAATTGTACGAAATTTTACGACATATGTGTAAATTTTGTTTTTACAATTGTATAGAAAAAAAATTAATTATAGCTGTTAATTATAACAAAGAAATTCATTAAAACATTTTTGCAGTGATTGTTTTGTGTTAAGAATAAACTAGAAACTTTAATAATGATTTTTTTTTAAATAAACTAAAATGAAAAGAATATGAATTAATTAAGTATATAAAGAAAAGAATATACATTTTATATATGTATATTTCTTATGTAATAGCATATTAATGTATATATTAATTAAAATTTTTTAAATTTAATATTCTTATATTAAGTGTATAATTTTATTATATTGTTTCAGTATTATATATAACGAGAAATTGGAATCTGCTCATCGAGATCTTCCTAAACGTGCTCGCCGAGATAAGAATTTAAGAAAGGTAATGAAAAAGATAAGTTTGTTATATTAACATATACTATTTATATTAAAATAAATAAATATTAATTGCAAAAATAAAATAAAAAGTATATTATAATGCTACTAGACAACGGATATAAACATATGCAAATTACATATTATATGTAGTAATGTAGTATGATTTTATGTACGTGCGAATATTATGTGACGTAACTATTATATGTATGAAGGTCATGTTACACAATTCGCACATACAGTACACCAAACCATAAGTGAAATACGTAAAGCGTGATAAATTAATGCGAAGTATTATAAATCTTGTTTTACGCCAGCATTACTGATTGCATATTAAGCATTAAAAATTATAATGAATAAATGATTAAAAATTTTCAATTTTTTTACACGAGTTTGCGCATTAAATCATAATTTGATCATTAAAAAATATATTATGAAAAGTATAGAATGTATAAAATACATATAAATCATTTATATAACTATATATTATTTATATATTCAAATATATATTATAGAATTATAAAATTTTTAGTTTATTATATTTTTTGGTAAAGATATAGCAATTAGAGATTGACAATATTAAAAATAATTTTATTTTTACACAAATTTTATTTTTATGATAAGATTTGATCGGTTTATTTTTAAGTAAATTCCTCAGTTATGAATAGCTGAAAATATTAATCCATTAAAGTTGTTGAAAAGAGATCCACAGACCCCCTTTCGGTGTTGGTAAACTGATTCCTGGAATCATTTTCAAAGGTATTTGTGTCCTCGGAGAAAGCTCCAGGCTATATTTTCTCAGGATTGCAGCAAAACACGTCTTCATTTGTAATAAAGCCATTCTCATCCCTACACAGATTCGCGGGCCTTCACCGAAGGGAAGAAAAGTAAATTTCTCGATACTGTGTTTCTTATCTGGACTGAATCTTTCTGGATTGAACACTTCAGGATGTTTCCAATAACGAGGATCTTTATGCAGAGCGTTAACGGGTATCAAGATCTCTCTACCAGGTTGCACGTGACAGACAAGACCATCGGATCCTCTTAGCTCAAATTCTTCTGTACATACTTTCTGCAGGACTTCTCCTAAAGGTATGAATCTCTGTGACTCATTTAAAACCTGATCCATATAAGTCATTTCCTTCAAGCCTTCGTAAGTAATCATACCATCGTACTTATCGAGTACAGTTATCACTTCTTCACGTAATTTTTTCTGTACTTTTGGATGCATGGACAATTGAAAGGCAACAAAACTCATAGCACTGCTAGTAGTGCTGTAGCCGTCGATGAAGAAAGATATTGCATCAGATGCGAGCATATCGACATCAAATTTATCATTTTCAGTCCGCTCTAATTCTGTCATCAATTGAAGAAAGTCATTTCTAGGTTCTCCCTCTTTTCGTCGTTGTTTTATAACATCCATAACCAATGTTCTGAAGAAACGATCGATATGCTTAGGAATGAAGCTCATTTTAAAGATTTTATTTAACGGTGGGATGCACATTACAAGAATAAATAGGATCGCGTTTTGCATAGAAGGCCTCATAATCTCCTTTCCAAATTTTCGGAAGGACGCATCTGCTTTTTCGTCATCGAAGCAAAATCCGTCCACGCCGAAGCCACACACAGCTGCGGTTACAACTTGAGTAGTATATCTGGAGAATAAATCTTTTAACTCTAATTCCACTTTTTCGGCTTTGCTCAATTTTTATCCAAATAGTTTTCGAGCTGTTCGCATACTTGCTTGATGCTCTCGAGTAGAATCTTCAGTCGCATGCTTGAAAATGCGTAAGTCAGTTGTTTGCCAAAAGAGGATCCAATTCAGGATCGACCTTCAGGCCGTTCTCGTGGAAATTGACAAAATTGGTTTGCATTATCGTCTTTACGAGTTTCGGTTCGAGGACCATCAATGCTGGTGATGTGAAGTTATAGATTCCTATCATACTGTGACTCCGATTATTATTGTAAATCTTGCGACAACACTCGGAGAAAGTTGTTCTCATACAGAATACTGACATCATATGGCCAACTCCCGGTAGGGTTCCATTTGCACAGAGAACTCCATGATTTTGCCAATATTTGTTGTATCGTTTCAGGTAAAAATAGAGTGCTATGAGCACTGCAAGAATCAAAGATACCAGGATAACGACCATTTCGCCTCTCTTGAATGATGGATGACTGAAATAGAACTGATGTAACCTTGAGCGCGATGAATTGCGATTAAACTTTGGAAAGGAGAATCACTGACGTGCGCGCATACATTGATAGCGTCGATTAGCAGATAAATAAGCGAGACTGCACAGGTAAATATAGTAATAAAAGTACGATCTTATAATTTCCAGTAACGATACCAAATAAAAATTCTACAACACATGTAAATATTTTTTATAATTGTATAGAGTAAAAGTATTAATTATAGTCGTTGGTTATAAAAAAAAGATCGAAATTTATTAAGACCTTTTTAATTTTAGTTTTTGTATTAAAAATAAAACTAAAAATATCTATTAATGAGATCAAAGTAAAATGAAAATACTGTGTATGTACATATACATATATGTACATACATGTAACGAATAAATGTCAAGTATTAATCAAGATTTAATTATTTTTTGCAGAATTATCGTTCGTATATTAAAAACTATAATGAATAATAACTGAATTTTAGCTTATAATCAGTTTGGCTATTAAATCCCATAAATTGCTACATTAAAAAAATTATTATAGTTATAAATTTGAGCACCGTTCGCGCATGGAACTCCACGTTTTTGCCAGTATTTATTTTTTGGCGCCAAGAAAAAATAAAAAGCTGCAAGTGCTCCGATGATCAAAGATAGTAGCACGATGGCCATTTCGTCTTGTGTGATACTAGTTAGAATACTGTAGTGACTACTGAATTGCGCAGAGTGACATAGCCTTGACTACGTATTAACTACGACTGATTGTTAGAGGGCAGAATTATTGTAGAACGTCCTTGTGTTGGTCGTATCGATGAAGTCATGACCGAGAGAAACTGCAAAAATAACTATCTATAAAATTCATTTTATATAGATAATTTTAAATAGAACTCAAGTGAAATTTACGATAAAATGTTTCTTCGCAGTTATATACTTAATCTTTAACCTTGCTAAGTAAAGAAAATTATTTATTATTCACTTTTATAGAAATAATTAAAAAAATAATTACAATGGAATTAATATAAATTAAATATTAAATAATCATTATATAAGTAGAATTTTATATTGGAAAACAAGCTGCATATATGTATAGGTATTTGTTATTCAGGCACCATATGTATTATATCTTACATACAATGCAACTTACATATTCAGTATCAAGATAACAATACGGTAAAAAAGCTCTTGATTTTTTTGAAGAGAATGGCTTTAATTCTACCTAATAAAAAAAGACAAATTATACTATACTTATATTATGTTGTCACTGATTGCAATAACAACTTTAGTGCGTAAAATAATATATGCAATGAAAGAGAAACATACGACAATTTATGAACTATGCAATCAACATCGTGCGCGTCTCTAATTTAACATATATAGTATAATACATTATAGAATATAAGTTATTTTTATTGAATAATAACCAGCATTTGCACTACTCATACTCGGTTTAATCTTTTATGTAGGATAGCATAAAGGCTCTCTCGGATGATGACGATTGAAATAGGCGGACTGATGTAGCTTTAAACACGTGTCATCTGCGACTAAACTTTAGAGAGGAGAATCACCGACGAGCACACTGATAGCGTCAATTAGTCGATGAGTAGGTAACTACACAGATAAATAATAATAAAATAGCTCGCTCTAATAATAATAAAATAACTCGCTCTAATCATTCTCAGTAGTTTTATTAAATTTTACGAAATATTGTGTAGATATTTTTTTATAATTGTATAAAATAAATATATGAATTAGTTGTAGCCATTAATTATAAGAAAGAAATTTATTAAAATATTTTTGCTGTGACTGCTTCGTGTTAAGAATAAACTCATTGTTAGAAAAATTTTCTAACAATGATTAAGTCAAATAAATGAAAAGTAAATTTTATGTACATATATCAAGTAATAATATTTCAATGTATACTAATTTTAATTTTTTTTTATTTAACATATATATTATAAAATTATTTGTGTTTTTATTATATTGTTTTAGTACGATATGACAAAAAATGTCACGCGGAATTTGATTGTCGAGATTTTCCCAAACGTGTTCACGAGATCAGGATTTGAGAAAGGTAAGAATTTGTTTGATTAATATGTAATCAAATTAATATTTATTGCAACAAGAGTATGAAAAAGAATACCATATAACGGATATAAATGCGATTTATTATGTGATTTTGCATATGTACATCAATCGTGTGATGTTATTTTTACAACTATACACATTATAAATATAAAAGTCCTAGTTATAATTCTGATACAGCTTAAAGAGTTTTTTTAAAGCTGTTGAAGATAAACCCACACACCACCTTCCGGTGTTGCTAAGATGGTCCCGGGAACCATTTTTAAAGGTACTTGTGTCCTCGGAGAAAGTTCCAGGCGATATTTTCTCAGAATTGCAGCGAGACCCGCCTTTATTTGTAATAAAGCCATTCTCATTCCCGGGCAAATTCGCGGACCTTCACCGAAGGGAAGAAAAGTGAATTTCTCGATACTGTGTTTCTTTTCCGGACTAAATCTTTCGGGATCGAATATTTCAGGATCTTTCCAATAACGAGGATCTTTATGCAGACCGTTAACAGGTATTAGAATATTTGTATCAGGCTCCACGTGACAGACAAGTCCATCAGATCCTTTCAACTCAAATTTCTCCGTACATAGTTTAGTCATGAATCCTGCTACCGGTAGGGTCCTCTGCGACTCATTCAAAACTTGATCCATATACGTCATTTCCTTTAAGCCCTCGTAAGTAACCACACCATCGTACTTATCGAGTACAGTGATTACTTCCTCGCGTAATTTCTCCTGTACTTTTGGATAACTGGCCAAATGAAAGGCAACAAAACTCATAACAGAACTAGAGGTTTCGAAGCCATCGATGACGAACGACATCGCTTGAGATGCAAGTATCTCAAGATCGAATTTATCTTTCTCAGTTCGCTCTAATTCAGCCATTAAATGAAGAAAGTCGTTTCTAGGTATGCCATCCTTTCGTCGTTGCTCCATAAGGTCCGCGACTAATGTTCTGAAGAAACGATCAATGTGCTTTGGAATAAAACTCATCCTCAAGATTTTATTTAACGACGGGACGAGGAACGTTAAAGCCAACATAAGCGCATTCCTTCCAGTAGGCTCCAAAATGGTTCGACCGGTTGCTCGGAAGGATTCAGTTTCTTTCTCGTCATCGAAGCAAAGTCCGTCCACGCCAAAGCCAGCAGCGGCTACTACTTGCGCGGTATACCTGGAGCACAAGTCCTTCAGTTCTATCTCCAATTTACCGTCTTTATTCATCTTGTTATTCACATAATTTTCGAGTGTCACGCATACTGATTTGACGCTCTCGAGCAGGATTTTCAGTCGCATACTGGAAAACGCATAAGAAAAACGCTTTCTGCCGACCACCCATTTGTCGCCAGTAGTGTTAAATGGATTATGTGCTAGGAGAGGATCCAAGGCTGGATCAATAGCAATGGCGTTTTTGGAGAAGCTCGCGAAATTCGTCTGCAACACTGTCTTTACCAGTTCCGGTTCGATGATTACCAACGCCGGTGATGTGAAATTATAGAATCCGACCACGCTACGATTCATGTGGTCTTTATAAAATTTGAGCAAACATTCCGGCAGCGTCTTTTTCATACATATCACCCACAACATGTGACCGATTCCCGGTAGAGCTCCGTCCGCGCATGGAACTCCACGTTTTTGCCAGTATTTATTTTTTTGTGCCAAGAAAAAATAAAAAGCTGCAAGTGCTCCGATGATCAAAGATAGTAGCACGATGGCCATTTTGTCTTTCTTGTGTGATACTAGTTAGAATACTGTAGTAACTACTACTGAATCGCGCAGAGTGATGTAGCCTTGACTACGTATTAACTACAACTGATTGTTACAGCAGATTTACTGTAGGGTGAGCATGAGTTGATCGCGTGCATGAACGAGAGAAAGATAACAAATAATAAAATTAACATTGATGATTTTTGGTAGAATTCAAATACACTTTCTTATAATAAAATATCAGTCATGTTTTCTCACAATTATATATAATTAAATATTTAATTTTGCTAAGTAAAGGAAATAATTTGTTACTCAATTTTACAACAATAATTATATAGAAAAGTAATTAATATAAATTAAATAATTATTTTATATAAATGGAATTTTATTTTTAAAAATATGTTGCACACTTTGTTATTCAAGCGCCATATATTTTACGTTTGATACAACTTGCAGATTCGTTATCAAGATAATAATTATCACGGCGTGAAAGAGCATCATTTAACTTTTTTAAGAAGTGACCTTAACTTTATCTAATAAAAAAATAGATTGCTATATCTGTTATCACTATTGGATGCAATAACATAACTTTAACTGCGTAAATTAATAATACATGCAACGAAAGAGAGACTTCATGCGACAATTCATCAAATATGCAATCAACATCATGCATGTCTTTAACTTGACATACAATATAATCTAGGTATTATAGGATGTACTATAGGTCACTTTTTTTATTGAATAATAGCCAGCATTCGCTCTACTCAAATAATCGTTTTGACTTTTTATGCAGGATGGCCGAAGGAAATATTTCAATGTCAATATCAATGAGAACTATTAATATTAGTTGATCTTTGCCTCTACCCCACTCTCTCTTTCTCTCTCCTTCCACGTATTTTATTAATGTAAATTTCATTTTGTAAATATTATTTTGTTATTATGCATAGATTTATTATTTTTTATATTATTGTCTATACACCTAAATATAAATCACATTTTAAGAACAAAAAATTATAATTAGAAATTTGACTCTTGACAATTTGCCAATAGAATTAGTCATTGATTAAATTAATGAGTGATTTGATCAATTTGAGTTTTAAAATTAATATCAATAAATTTTATCAATAAGGAAGAATAATATATATATATATATATATATATATATATATATATTTATTTATTTATTTATAATATATAGAATTAATATTTTATAAAGAACAATGTTAGTAAAACTATACGAATTACATTTTTAAATACGCAATATATGTATAATCCCAGCAAACACCAAGTAACTATTACATAACTGTTAATTATAATTTCCCACACTCAACAATGTAAATGCAATATAACACGTGTTATATAATATAATTGTTACTTGGTATTTGTCGGGATATTATATCTATAATTTTTGTTAATGTATGTTACATAAGATTAAAATACAGCTATATTGTCATGCTCTATCATTGAGCTCGCTTATTGGTTGGTATATTATACATGCGTCATGCGTTGGACTATGCCTATATTTTTAAAAGAAGTAGTCATAGCGGACGGAGAACTTGCTCTATCATTCAGTAGCATTAGTTGTGTCCGCTCGTTCAGTATCTTCCACAAAAAGCAGAAATGGCTATCGTGCTAATATCTTTGATTTTGATAACATTGGTGGTTCTCTATTTTTACTTGACAAAGAACTATAACTATTGGCAAAAGCACAAAATACCTTGCGCAGATGGCATTTTACCTGGAGTCGGCCACTTCTGGGACCTCATCACCATGAAACTCTCTTTCTCCGAGTGTTGTCGCAAGATCTACAAAGATAATCGAAATCATAGTATGGTAGGAATCTACAACTTCAGATCACCAGCGTTGATGGTCCTCGAACCGGAGCTAGTAAAGACGGTGATGCAAACAAGTTTTTCGAACTTCCACGAAAACGGCCTTAAGGTTGATCCTGAATTGGATCCTCTTGTATCAAACAATCCATTCTTTAGTAGCGGCGAGAAATGGGCAACTGGCAGGAAGCGTTTGACTTACGCATTTTCCAGCATGCGACTAAAAATTCTGCTCGAGAGCGTTAAGCAAGTATGCCAGCAGTTCGAAGATTACTTGAATAGAAAATTAAGCAATGTCGGAAAGATCGAATTGGAACTGAAGGATATGTTCGCCAGATTCACCGCACAAGTTGTGACTGGCGCTGGTTTTGGCATAGACGGATTGAGCTTTAACAAGGAGAAAGAGAAAGAATCTTTTTATACAATGGGCAAGTCTTTTCTCCAACCGACTGGTATGAACAATATTATCGTTACGCTTGTTTTTTTCTTGCCGTCGTTGGGTAAAATTTTTAGGCTGTCTTTATTACCAAAGAAAGTTGATCGTTTCTTTAGAACGATAATCGCAGATGTTATGGAACAAAGAAGAACAGAGAATATACCTAGAAACGACTTTCTTCAGTTGATGGCTGAACTGGAACGGGTGGAGGGTACTAAGATTGATTTAGAAATTCTTACATCTCATGCAGTTTCGTTTTTTCTTGACGGTTATGAAACCTCTAGTATAACTTTGAGCTTTGTTGGTTTTCAATTAGCTAGTCATCCAGATGTGCAGGAAAAATTACGCAATGAAGTAATATCTGTGCTTGACAAGTATGATGGCGTGATTACTTATGAAGCTTTAAAAGAGATGACGTACATGGATCAAGTCATGAGCGAATCACAGAGATGCGTCCCTGCAGTGGGATTTCTGACCAAGATTTGTACAGAAGCAACTGAACTCAGAGGATCTGATGGACTCACCTGTCACGTTGAACGTGGAATGCAAATTCTGATACCCGTTCACGGCCTCCACGAAGATCCTCGGTATTGGGAGCGTCCCGAAGTATTTGATCCCGAAAGATTTGGCCCAGACAGGAAACACAGCATCGAAAGATTCGCTTTTCTTCCCTTCGGCGAAGGTCCGCGAATCTGCGTAGGGATGAGAATGGCTCAGTTACAAATGAAAGCGTGTTTGGCTACATTCCTAAGGAAATATAGTCTTGAACTTTCTCCGAAAACTCGTACACCCTTGAAGATGGATGCTTCTTATTTTTTGTCTGCCCCAGAAGGTGGTTTTTGGGTTTACATTCGGCCGGTATATTAAGTTTTTTAGTTTGTTGTAATGCTTTAGAAATGTTTCTTTTTTATTTTTCTGTATATATAATTATATGAATTATGATAATTTTTAGAGTTTTTTACGTTATCTGATGGCAAAATATTTGTGTAGATGTATTATGTATACATGTATATTATTGCTTTTATTTAGAGTACATATATTTTATTTTAATATTAAATAATGTTGAAAAGAAGAGAATAATTTAACATTTTCAATAAGATTTGTTAATGCTGATATTAAATTAATTAATTGTATAATTCCACAATATCATTAATCAATATTATATATTATACAATAATGTCACATGACTGTGCGATTTCTAATTTGCTCTTTTACATGACAAATAAAGAATAGCATATTTTTTAAAATAAATGAGTTATCTGCGTGGAAATCAGTAATTGAATTATATATTTTTTATGGGTTTTAAAAATGTGTCTAATAATGTAGAGAGAATGTTAAATGTATATCATATACATATATAAATATCATATAAATATCATATAAATATATTTAATAATGTGATTAGCTTTTTCATATAAAATATAATTATTACTCTAGTATGCAGTCTACATGCTTTATTAAAAAATAAATATCTTGACATATAATTAGGCTGCTTATATTTAATGAATTGTATAATTAGTTGACGAGTCATCTATATTGATTAATCATTAATCGTCGGTTATTATTAACTATGAATAATACATGACACAAAGAAAAGTAATATCGATATTTTTTTTTGTTTTTTTGTAGATTGTATTTTAATTTGACGAATGAAAGATATAACTTAGCGAGACGCTACCGCGTCTCCTGATTTAAGTGACATTTATCTTTATATTTTAAAAACTACATTTTTTGCATTTTATATATTATATAGTATTATTATTTGTTAAATGTACTTCTACATTTTATATACATACACATCGTAAGCGCATTACTCTTTTTTCAAAATTTTTATATGTATGTATTTATGTTCTTAGTTTTATTGAAATTAAGTTTATATATATATCGTATAGATTATTTTATATAGTGTCATACAGAGAGTATACGCGTTGAATAACGTATATGTATATATAAATGATAAGATTAACGTAAGATTAATAAAAATGGCTTTAATCACGAAAATTTTGAATAACGATTATTATAATATATTTTTAAGGACAAAAATTAATAATTTCAACTGAGCAAAGTTTATAACGCAAGATGCAGAACACATTTCAACATGTATATATCTTCAACAACAATTATGGAGGTGAGAAATGCGTGATGAGGATTTAAATAGATTTGGAATTTCACAGAACAAATTATCTACATGAGTCAAAAGGTAAAACAATTTTTAATTAAGATTTGTAAATTATTTTATATAAGGAAAAGTGATGCGAAGGAAATATTTCAATATTAATATAAATGTAAGCTAATAATAATTGTATCCTTTCCACCCACCCCCCACCTCTCTCTCTCTCTCTATTCCTCTATTCCTAATATAACGTATTTTATTAATGAAAGGTAATTGCACTTTGTTAATATTATTTTGTTATTGTAGATATTGAATATTAATAATAAATTTTTATCAATTTGAAGAAAAAGAATGGATTCATATTCTAGAACACTTGCAATAAAACTTTAATGAGATTGTAAATAAATAATATTCTTAAATGTGCAATATATGATATAATTCACGTTACAAAGTACGTTCGTAAAGCTAATGAGATTAAATTATGTTATCATTCTGTATCATTGACACTGATTGTCAGCTTGCTCGTTCATTGGACGATGCTACACTCGTGTGGGAGTATATTTTTAGAAGAGAGAATCAGTCGTAAAGACTTGCTTGAACGTTCAGTATCATTCATTGTGTCTGATCGTTCAGTATATCTTCCACAAAAAAAAGAAATGGCTATCGCGCTCGTATCCTTGATTCTCGTAGCATTGGTGGCTCTCTATTTTTACTTGACGAAGAATTACGATTATTGGCAAAAGCGTAATGTACCTTGCGCGGATGGTGCTTTACCCGGAGTCGGCCACTTCTGGAACGTCATCACCATGAAGACCACCTTTTCTGAATGCTGTCGCAAGATCTACAATAATAATCGGAATCGCAGTATGATAGGAATCTACAACTTCAGATCACCAGCGTTGATGGTCCTCGACCCGGAGCTAGTGAAGACGGTGATGCAAACAAGTTTTTCTAACTTCCACGAGAACGGCTTCAAGATCGATCCTGAGTTGGATCCTCTTGTGTCAAACAATCCATTCTTTTGTACTGGCGAGAAATGGGCAACTGGCAGGAAACGTTTGACTTATGCATTTTCCAGCATGCGACTAAAGATTCTGCTCGAGAGCGTTAAAGAAGTATGCCAGCAGTTCGAGAATTACTTGGATAAAAAAATTAACAAAATCGAAAAGATCGAATTGGAACTGAAGGATTTGTTCGCCAGATTCACCGCACAAGTTGTAACCGGTGCTGGCTTTGGCATAGACGGATTGAGCTTTAACGAGGAGAAAGAGAAAGAATCATTTTACGCAATGGGCAAGTCTTTTCTCCAACCGACTGGTGTGAACAATATTATCTTTACGTTAGTTTTTTTCTTGCCTTCGCTATCTAAAATTTTTAGGATTCCTTTTTTACCAAAGAAAGCCGATCGTTTCTTTAGAACGGTAATCGCGGATGTTATGGAACAAAGAAGGACAGAGAGTATACATAGAAACGACTTTCTTCAATTGATGGCTGAACTGGAACGGGTGGAGGGTACTAAGATTGACTTAGATGTTCTTGCATCTCACGCAGTTTCGTTTTTTCTAGACGGTTATGAAACCTCTAGTATAACTTTGAGCTTTGTTGGTTTTCAATTAGCTAGTCATCCAGATGTGCAGGAAAAATTACGCAATGAAGTGATATCTGTGCTCGAGAAGTATGATGGCGTGATTACTTATGACGCTTTAAAAGAGATGACGTACATGGATCAAGTCATAAGCGAATCACAGAGATGCGTTCCTGTATTGGGATTTCTGACCAAGATTTGTACAGAAGCGACCGAACTTAGAGGATCTGATGGACTCACCTGTCACGTTGAACGTGGAATGGAAATTCTGATACCCGTTCTTAGTCTGCAGGAAGATCCTCGGTATTGGGAACGTCCTGAAGTATTTAACCCTGAAAGATTCGGCCCAGACAGGAAACACAGCATCGAAAGATTCGCTTTTCTTCCCTTCGGCGAAGGTCCGCGAATCTGCGTAGGGATGAGAATGGCTCAGTTACAAATGAAAGCGTGTTTGGCTACATTCCTAAGGAAATATAGTCTTGAACTTTCTCCGAAAACTCGTACACCCTTGAAGATGGTGGCTTCATCCGTGTTGGCTGCAGCAGAAGGTGGTCTTTGGGCTTATATTCGGCCGATTAATTAAATTTTTCTTTACGGGGCCCGTACCGGAGGCTGAAACGTTGTGCGATATTATTTTTGTAATTTGCCAGTTGAGTTAAATTTGAATAAAATTGATAGAAATTTTTCTTTAGTTTATTGTAATGCTACAATAGTAATATGTTTCTTTTTTATTTTTTCTGAATGTAATTATGTTAATTCTAATGATTTTTATAGCTTTTTACTTTGTTTGATGGCAAGATATTTGTATAGATCTTGTATATTATTGTTTTTATTTAGAATACATATATTTTATTACAATATTAAATAATGATGAAACGAAGATAATATTTTAACATTTTCAACGAGTTCTGTTAATATTGATATTAAATTAATTAATTGTGTAATTCCGCAATATTGTTAATCAATTATATATATATATATATATATATATATATATATATATATATATATATATATATATATATACATATATATTATACAAGAGTGTCATATGACTCTGGGATTTCTAATTTACTCCTTTAGATTACAAATAAAGAAATAAAGAATAGCATTTTTTAAATAAATGAGTTTTATCTGCGTGGAGATTAGTAATTGTATTATATATTTTTTATAGTTTTTAATAAATGTGTATAATTTAGAAAGAATGTAAAATATATATTATACATATAATATTTAATATTGTAATTAGCTTTTTCATAAAAAAATATAATTATTTATCTTAAAATACATTTTGTATCGTATAATTAAAAAGTGAATATCTTTACATTTAATTAGGCTGCTTGCATTTATTGAATTGTAAACATTTGTCTGTCAAGTCATCTATATTGATTAATTATTAATCGTTGGTTATTATTATAACTATGAATGATACTTGATACAAAGAAAAGTAATATATAATTATATAAATGACATTATCTTCACATTTTAAAAACTACATTTTGCATATTATATATTATATATAGTGTTATTATTTGTTAAATGTCTATATTTTATATACATATATGTTTAGGGACAAAAATTAATAACTTCAACTGACCAAAGTTTATAACGCAAGATGCAGAATACATTTCAACTTGTATATATCTTTAACAACAATTATGGAGGTGAGAGATGCCTCTGATGAGAATTTAAATGGATTTGGAATTTCACAGAGCAAATTATCTACATGAGTCAGAAGGTAAAGGAATTTTTAATTAAGATTTATAATTTATTTTATATAAGGAAAAATGGTGCAAGGGAAATATCTCAATGTTAATATGAATGAAAGCTAATAATATAATAATAGCTGTACCCTTCCCTCCTCTTTTTCTCTTTCTCTATTCCTAATATAACGTATTTTATTATTGCAATGTACTTGCATCTTGTTAATATTATTTTGTTATTGTAGATAGAGAATTATTATTTTTTATTATTATTTACACTTAAATATTAATCACATTTTAGAAACAAACAAGTTATACTTAGATATTTTGCTGTAGACAATTATGCTAGTTAAAATATTTATTTATCAAATTAATCAGACCTTGATTGAATTGAGTTTTAATACTGATATCAATAAGTTTTTATCGATATGAAGAAAAATAATGGATTTATATTCTATGAAGAATACTTTCAGTAAATTTTAATGAGATAGTAAATAAATAACATATTCTTATTCTGTGCAATATATAATATTATATAATTTACGTTACAAAGTATGTTGCATAAACTGAGATTAGACTAGGATGTTATCATCCTGTATCATTGACGCTCATTGTCAGCTTGCTCGTTCATTGGACGATGCTACACTCGTGTGGGGGTATATTTTTAGAAGAGAGAGTCAGTTGTAAAGACTTGCTTGAACGTTCAGTATCATTCATTGTGTCTGATCGTTCAGTATATCTTCCACAAAGAGAAGAAATGGCCATCGCGCTCGTATCCTTGATTCTCGTAGCATTGGTAGCTCTCTATTTTTACTTGACGAAGAATTACGATTATTGGCAAAAGCGTAATGTACCTTGCGTGGATGGTGCTTTACCCGGAGTCGGCCACTTCTGGAACGTCATCACCATGAAAACTACCTTCTCTGAATGCTGTCGCAAGATCTACAATAATAATCGGAATCGCAGTATGGTGGGAATCTACAACTTCAGATCACCAGCGTTGATAGTTCTCGAACCAGAATTAGTGAAAACAGTAATGCAAACAAGTTTTGCAAACTTTCACGAGAATGGTTTTAAGATTGATCCTGAGTTGGATCCTCTTTTGGCAAACAATCCATTCTTTACCAGCGGCGAGAAGTGGGCAACTGGCAGGAAGCGTTTGACTTATGCATTTTCCAGTATGCGACTAAAGATTCTGCTCGAGAGCGTTGAGGAAGTATGCCAGCAGTTCGAGAATTACTTGGATAAAAAATTGAACAAAGTCGAAAAAATCGAATTGGAGCTGAAGGATTTGTTTGCCAGATTCACCGCACAAGTTGTAACTGGCGCTGGTTTTGGCATAGATGGATTAAGCTTTAATGAGGAAAAGGAGAAGGAATCTTTTTATGCGATGGGCAAATCCTTTCTTGACCCGACCGGTGTGAACAATATTATATTTATACTTATTTTCTTTGTGCCTTTGCTAGGTAAACTTTTTAGGATGCCGTTTTTACCAAAGAAAGCCGATCGTTTCTTTAGAACGATAATTGCGGATGTAATGGAACAAAGAAGATCGGAGAAGGTATCCAGAAATGACTTTCTTCAGTTAATGGCTGAACTGGAACGAGTGGAGGGTACTAAAATTGATTTAGAGGTTCTTGTATCTCACGCAGTTTCGTTTTTTATTGATGGGTATGAGACCTCCAGTACAGTTTTGAGCTTTGCTGGTTTTCAATTAGCTAGTCACCCAGATGTGCAGGAAAAATTACGCAATGAAGTAATATCTGTGCTTGACAAGTATGATGGCGTGATTACTTATGAAGCTTTAAAAGAGATGACGTACATGGATCAAGTCATAAGCGAATCACAGAGATGCGTCCCTGCAGTGGGATTTCTGACCAAGATTTGTACAGAAGCAACCGAACTCAAAGGATCTGATGGACTCACCTGTCACGTTGATCGTGGAATGCAAATTCTGATACCTGTTCATGGTCTGCAGGAAGATCCTCGATATTGGGAACGTCCTGAAGTATTTGACCCCGAAAGATTCGGTCCGGACAGGAAACATAGCATCGAGAGATTTGCTTTTCTTCCTTTCGGTGAAGGTCCGCGAATCTGCGTAGGGATGAGAATGGCTCAATTACAAATGAAAGCGTGTCTGGCTACACTTCTAAGGAAATATAGTCTTGAACTTTCTCCGAAAACTCGTACACCCTTGAAGATGATGGCTTCGTTCTTTTTGGCTGCAGCTGAAGGTGGTCTTTGGGCCTATATTCGACCGATTCATTAGAATGGTTTTCGTAACATTTTAGAGTTGACATTTTTCCTTAATTTTCTGTTTATATAATTATATAAATAATAATTGTATAGTTTTTGTTTATGTTATTTGATGCCAAAATATGTGTATAAATCATGCACATTATTTAATTTATTTTGCTCTTATTTTAACTATTTTATTACTACAGTGTTAAATGAAGAAAGAGAGAGGTAGAACAATTTAATAAGCAAGATATTTTTTGCAAGATTTTAAATTTATTACTTCTGTAATTTTGCTATATCATTAATCATATATAATATCTATTCCACGATGTCTAATTTGTTTATTGAGACTACAAATCCAAAATATAACATGTGTTAAATGATGATAATAAATAAATTTTATCTACGTGGAAATTAATAATTATGCCGTACATTTCGTATAGTTGTAGAGAAATGTATAATTTAGAGAAAGAATGTAAAATTTATATTATACATAATATAATTTGTGATTTGCCATTTTATAGAAAATTATTATATAATAATACAATATATAATTATTACGCTATAATAGAATTCATTTATCCTTTAATAAAAATCTTTATCTATAATTAGGCAGTTTATAATTATATTGTAATTGTTCACAAATCGATAATATTTAATCATTAATTATCGATTTTTAACTATGAATATTATAAGAAAAAATATATAAATTTGCTATGATATTAAAAAATGCATTTTACATGTATCTACACTGTTTATTTGTTAAATGTTCTTATACATTCTATTATATATATATATATATATATATATATATATATATATATATATATATATATATATATCGCAAGCGTATTATTCTTTTTTTCACGAGAATACATATACATATATGTCGTTAGTTATTATAAAACTAAACTCTTATCGTATAAATTATTTTATATAATGATATAATGTATGCGTGTTAAATCATATGCGTAGATTAAAATCTATTAAATAAGGCATTACGGTGAAACCAAAGTGTTCTAAATTTCTCAAATTATATCATAAATCGTTAGGCGGTATAATTAAAATTAAATTAATAATTAGCAATATAATCTCTGAAATGATATCTGCTGGAATGATATCTCTGATTTGATTAATGCATTATGTCATTATATAGCGCACATGTAATCTTTATCAAATCTTTATCATGACGATCGATTTGTATTTCGCCGATTAAAATCTTTTTAATCGTAATTCAATGACAAAGCGCGAATTATGCTTGCTTTTGTGCCAGATTAATTAACAGTAAACAAACAGTTTCTCTATATGAATTCTTCAAGAACAAAAAACCTGAAAACACGGGCAGGCAACTTCTCGGTGTGGGTTTTTAGAGGTATCAATGGTAACTTAACAACATAACTCAAAATTTTGTGTAACAATAATCAAGGATACAAGGTAACAAAATTAACAACAACGTGCGTCATGGTGGCTGGCCAAGTATTTTTGACGATTAAATATTTGTCGCAAAATTTTCAGGCGCTATAAGAGGATTATCGTTTGATTGATAATTTAATTATAGAATTTATAAATTAAAATATCTTTTTCTTATATACAATTGGAACATATGGAAATAATTGACTGCTTTTCATTATGAATCACTTAAAAAAAAAGAGTTTGATTTGAGTTCCATGTTTTACATATGAAATTGTAAACTTTTATTTGAAAAAGTTTCAAGCATATACCTATTTTTGGAAAGGAATTAATTTTTTTGTCATGCTTGTTTTGGGAACTGTATTCACAATATCGAGCAAGTCGCACAAATAGATTTTATATGCCAGGAAAGAAATATAAGCGTAATCATTACTAATTGCCCAATTGGAATTTGATTAATCGCCCTGCCGTCAACAATAATAAAGCAATCTGATGCTCTCGTAATAAAATCTAAATAGTAAATAGTAATGAAGATAATAATAATATATAAAAATAATAATAAGGATCAAACAAATGGGTAGGGTAAACAAAATGGGATTGATAACGAAAATTGTGAGTAACGATTAAATAATATGTTTAAGGTGGACGAAAACTAATAACTTCAACTGACCAAAGTTTATAACGCAAGATGCAGAACATATTTCAACTTGTATTCAATTTTAACAACAATTATGGCAGTGAGATGCGTGATGAAGATTTAAGTGGATTTGAAATTTTACAAAGCAAATTATCTATATGAGTCAGAAGGTAAAGCAATTTTTAATTTATAATTTGTAAATTATTTGTGCAATTTTAGAGAATATTTGTCAAACTTTAAGTAATATTGTGTAAAATAAGATATTTTTTCTCTATTGAAACATTTGATGACGATAATGAAAGCTGAAGAAGATTCTATAATTTGTTATATTTGATTCTCTATGAATATTGATGCTTGCTAACATTAAACATAAAATATCATTAAAAATATATTCAAATTTAACGAAAATATCGCGTTCGAATGTGAGAGAATTGATGGATTATCGAATACACAGTATTCGATAGCAATTATATGTGGATATGCGTGAGATGACAATGATCTATGATACAACACGAACAAAGTATCAACAGTACATAATCAACAAAGGATCAACAGTGTTAAATACGATTTTTTTGACAATGTGAAAAGCGTCCAAAATCTCGATATAACGGGAAACATGCGATAGAAGTAATAGATTTAAACAGGAAATTATTCAAGGGGAAATATGGAAAATGTAACAATTGTCTCAAAGAGAGAGTGTAACATTCGACGGCTTATTATAACAGTAACAATGCGCCAAATAGAAATTCAACGTGAACAATTGGGAGAATCAAATGGGACGTGTACCATGTATGTCGGGCTGACCAAAAATGTAGAATTCAAACACAAACGTAAATAAGAAAAAACAGAAACAGTAACATTCGAGAAGCATTCAAAAGCAGCATAATACGTTTGTGTATACTCTACTCGGACAATTATTTTGCGAATTATATATCAAGCGCGTCTTTCTTTCTTTCGAAATGTACCTTGAACACTTTCATTCGGATTGTATTTTGTTTCGGACAGTTGAAAATTTAATTTTTTAATCGTTACTACGGGCAAAGTACAAATCATCCTTGTTGTGAACTTTCAATTCACTGTCGGGTTTATATCGAGTTCGATTGAACGATTATTTATCTAGACAATTAATGATTTTGTTATTGAAAGATATATACGCGTTTACCCTAAATCTTAAAACTATGTCGCGAAAATCTCTTTATACTCTTATATAATTCATATTAATATAATTCTGTAAATAACTTCCTCAGTTAAGATATATGTGGACAAATACTTACGGATTACTGTGTATATATATTCAATCTATCTTAATTAATTATATTTCTTATGAAGATTAGTAAAACTTAAGTAATACATGTCTACGAGATGAAGCTATCAACTGTAAATTAAAATAAATTCCAATTTGTAACTTTGTTGGATGAATAATGGATCATATTTTACACTGAATACATCAACAAAGAAGCAATGTTGCAAACGAGATAAATAATTATAATATTTTATAAAATGAAAAAATAGAACTATTCCGTAAGTTATAAAATTTGCAGTTAACAGGACATCTCACAACGCTTTTTCAGAGCGTTCTGTGACTTATCCTTATCACTAATCATCGAGGGTATCATCCATTTGTATGTCTCTGAACATACAGTAATAAAATTATAGAAACTACATATCTAAATATCTATGACACGATGTTGTACGTTAAGTTTTATATAAGTATGTTAATAAGTAATCCACGTTTTACGTCAAATATATCAGCTGATAACGCGAGAAGAATCGCAAGATTTTGCAAACCAATTTTTTTTTACTTTTGCTATTATTTTTGTGATCTGAATACTGATCAGCTGAAATTAAACACAGGAGATTTGAAAATGTCTATTTAATTGTGCAGATCGAAGTACACGTAGATCCTGGAAGGAACAGTTGGTTTCGCAAAACAGCTACTATATTTTATGATAGATCTTTATCTGTAATTTTTTACTAGACAATTTTGCGAAACAAACTCTCTTTCTCATCCTTCCAGCATCTCCGCGCACAATTTATAATAATAATTAATTTGCGTTTCTCTTTGGTAACAACCCTCAAATATCTATTTCAATCTCAGTATCATAAAGTCCCATGAAATTATTATTTTCGAAGCACACACATCAGCTTTATTTATCAAATGTATTGTTTCGTAAAACGTATCATACTTTTCGTATTTACATCTCTGTTTCTTTCTTTTTTTTTAGGATTTTCATCTCTCTTCTTTGTTATGGATAAAAAATAAATCAAAACAAAAAATAAGGAAAAAAAAAGAAAATTAAAACTAAGAAGATAGATATAGCAAATCGGACGTGAAATCATCGAGTATCGAATATTCAACAAAGGACACATGTTATAAAAATAAAGTTCATTGAGTGCAGGTAAAAGAGTTTAAAATTACAATAAATTTCGTAATTTTAGAAAATGTGAATGTTTGGATATATGAACTACATCATTTTACGATATAGAGTTTGCTGCCAGTAATATTATGCCAAGCTATTAAATCAATCATCTAATTTTTTGTTCGGGATAAAATTTTACTGGCACAATGCAATTTTTACGAATTCGTAAAAATATACGGTTTCCTATATTTTTTATTGAGATATATGCATTTCCTGCAGAAAATATCTACCAGTCGTAAAATGACAGAGTTTTCAAAGCTTTAATTTGATCACAATTGAATATACATATTTTGTAATACGGAAAATTTTCTATTAGTGCAAAATGAATATGATGTGTGGAGATGTGAATATATAATCATAGGGAATATATAATCGTATATATGAATATTTCTGTAATATGGCAAAAAGAAAGATGGAATTTTAATATCGACAATTTCACGTTGATTAGCAGAATAAAATGAGTGAAATAAAAATAATATAAGCAAAATAAATAAATAAATAAATAAAACTTATAAATTAATGAGTAATTCCAAAACGCAAAATTTAGCGTCTAAAAGGCAAGATTGTGTCATTTTTTTTCTGTAATATATCGAATTTAATTTTTGCTTGTAATATATATCGACGATTAACTGATAGTATTATTATTAAAAAATTAAATTATATAATCTAGAATGTGAAATTTAACAATATTATAGAACAAAATATTACTTTTTATCGATGGTCCCACGACGTCCATGTTGTCCATGATTTGTATGATTAAATCCCACGTTGCAATGATAATTTGATACTTCTGGATTTCTACGTGTTCTTATCACGTGTTTTTTGTTTTCCAAGGGTAATCTTTCCGATGGATTTTAAAGAAGCAATTTATCGCACATTGCTTGCCTCTGATTTCTTGATTAAATATGGAGCTCCTCTTGCCTAATGAAAAAATTAATAGTTATAGATTAGATCAGATATTTTATTGATCAGAGTTTGGCGAGGATTCTTGCACAGTCGGAAAAGTTCGCGATAGCGATTTTTGTCCTGAGATTTGCGTCGAGTCATCAAGTGCAATGCCTTTTGATAGAAATCCTATTTTTCTTTTTTTTTTATCATCTTCATATTTGTTATTTGAATCTTCGTGCATCGATTGATATCGATTTGATGTAAAGCCATGTAGAGTTATTAGAGAGTTACTTGAGAGTTTATTCCGAGTATATGGTTTCTTGTGTATTTTTCTGCGTAGAGTTTTTCGTGTTCGGTTTTTTTTGCTCGTTGAACGTAATTTCGGGTTAAGAAATGAATTTATGCCGCTACAGAGCCGCGTGCACAAAAATTTATCATTGTTCGCTTTCGTGATGTGGTGACAGAAGTTACTTCGCCAAGTTTGTGTTGGCAATTTCTAGCTGTTTTCGAAGTTATCCTTGTATTGGACCAAAAAGGACTCCGCGTGTCTGGACTGTTTTGCGTATAATTAACTTAATCCGCAAAAATAACGATATAATCGAGCATCGTAAAAATTAACTCGATTGCGAATGATTGATTTCTGAAACGACATCGCGTGTTTCGCAAATGTCACATTTTTTTCTGCTCACTTCCCTGAGATTTTGTTAACGAATTTGCGTGTGTTTTTGAGACTATCTGTTTCGAGCGCTGCTTTGTTTTTCGGTAAACATGAATTAAACCCAAAAATGTCAAAAATTAATCGGTGCGTCGACTCGTCGATTCGAAATAATTTACAAATTTCGATCGAGAGTCATCAATTGTCCCTCCAGCCAAAGTGAACTCTGGAGGATTGATTTTCCGGTCTGTTTAGTTGATCCGTGCAGTGTTGTTTTCGAGCTGCACGATATAATTTATCTGCGTGTTTTTGCACTTTGCTTTTGATCTGCTCTGAAGCCTTGTGTTATCAGACGTGTGTGTGACGTCTTCTCTTTGAATCGTGAAATAATCAAAATATAATCTTGTGGAGCTGTTGCACGTAAAGTCGCTGTACGTTCAAACAATTATCGATAATTATCGTTCCTGAGAAACAGATTTGAAATTCACATTGATACTTCCTTTTGCTCGTCGAGATTGCGCGAGATTGCAGCGCGTGTAAAAAAGAATTGTTGCGGGAAGTGTGAACGGATTTTTTTTCTCTGCTGTAAATTGATACAAGAACTTAAACCAGAGTTTGAAAAGGCGCGGCCTGTGCTGCGGCCGTGGTTTTATTTTTGTGTCTTAATAACGTTCTGCGAAATTATTCCAGATAGCGAGACTTGCACTTGCATGCGACGAGTGTGTCGATGAGTTGCCGGAATTGGAGGAGTCGATTCCGTCCATGCCGTGATCCTTTCATGAGGAAAAAGAGAGAGGGGAAGACGTTTCGTCCTTTTCGAATCCAATTTCGAGAGCGAAGCAGAATTCAGAATTTCGCGCGATGCGAAACAGAGCATGCTACGATTATTTTTATGCTTAATGATGCTTTCTTTTTGGAAATAGCTGTAAAATAATCCTGAAGTGAGTCTCACGTTTTTTTTCGATGATTTCTCGATAATTTCGGAAAAGCTTGCAGAGAGAGAATGATACTTTGTTCATCATTGTCGTTGCTTTTTGAAGCAACACGGTGATGTGTTAATGTGAAACGCGTTTCCAAGTCTTGCTGTTTTTGACGATTCACACATGTTGCGTTATTTTGGAAAGGTTGCTTTCGGTTTGGCGAGAATAAACAGGTGCAGCCATTTGATTGTCAGCCAGGTGATTGATTTGAATTTCTTCGAATTTTGTCGATCGTCCAAATTTTAACGTTCGACGATTGACGTCCGATGATTCGTCCGTCCGACTGAATGGAATAAAAACTTTCTTGAGACGGAGAATGTGTGTGATTGAGCCCGGTGAAAACAAAAATGTGCTGCCTTGGTGTCTCTCGATATCGGAAGATTTCGTTCTCGATGAATTCGCGAAACTTTGTATCCTTCGACGAAGGGTGCTTCCGTTCGAAGGTTTGTGTTTTTCTTTCCCAAATGTGTGCTAGGTAAAATCAATAGATTCTCTTCAGGCTGGCCGGGTAGACACGTGAAAGCCTGTTTTCGCCTCTTGTGCAACGTATAAAATGCGAGATAGAACGTTTGAAGAAACGCGAGAAAAATTCAACAAATTCCTCAATATAGTAATAACGTAACGATTTAACAGACGTATAATTCTGCGAGTGATAATAAAAGCTTGTGTGAGATGTGAGAGCGTGAATCGAAGAATTGCGCGATCGTCGTTGTTTCGTCATCTCCGACGATCTCCCCCGATCATCGAGGAACGCGAGATCGCCTTGAACAGGGTTACTCGTTATCCGTCCATGGTTTGGTTCCTCGCTGGACAGCTGGCTTTCGCTTGACGCTCGTTTCCGGCTACACCCGTCGATCTTGATCCTCCCGCGTCGTCCCGTCGATTGATTGATGCCCCGGTTACCCGTGATTGATGCTGCCTTGTTGCTCCAGGCCGTGGCGATGAGACCTGGAAGGGTGTGAGCGTTAGCTACGAAAAAACACACAAGGGCCGGTTGTTCAGTTTTTCACGTTCAAATTCTAATCTAATCCGTGGAAATTTTCTACCAAATGCTCTTTATTTAATATACTAACATCTCTTTTATTATTTCAGGTAAAGTGCGAGGTGTGCTTAAGTAAAGTGTGCTTAAGTAAATATGTTCGCGTCATCTTGGATGCAAATGTATATAAACGGAGGCTAAGAAGAAACGCCGTTTCGTCCTCTTTTTTTTGCCGTGGAAGTCGTCTTGAAAGTCTCTTGTCTGAAAGTTCAACGAGAGTTTCCTTGGATGGAGAATTTCAAGCAATTTCAAGCAATTTGTATTCCTGGGAAAGGTGGCGATGACGTTGTCGATTGGATAATGTTTTTGGATCAGCCTCCATTGGTACCAAAGTTGATTTTTGTTGTGTGGCCAAGTAGTTTTTGATCAGAAGACGCTCAATTTCAATGGTGAGTTTATTTCAATTGATGTTTCGAAAATCTTTAATTATATGGCATCGAAATATAAAGTGTATCAATGTAGCCAAAATTTCTGTCAAATGTACAATTTTACAATCATGCGGCTGTGTGTGTATGTGTGTGATCATCGGCTGGTTGAAATTTTGAAGAATTAATTGAGAACTAACTTAGTGTTGCCTGATAATTATCATTCATTTGTAATTTATATCTTCAGGATGTGCAACCTTGATTTTTAATTCCATTTTTGATCAACTAACACAAATAATACTCCAGTTTTTTGTAGTAATATAACATTTTTTTGCAAATATTTTATTATTTTTCTATCAAAACATATTTTATCAATATTTTTTTGTAATGTAAAACCTTAAATTCTTCCTGAACCATTTTTTCTGATTTTATTTATGCAATTCTCTCGGGCAGGATACAGGTCATTAATGAAACAATTTGTTGTTTAAACCATTTTTTGAATTTCTTGAGGCAAAATCTGTTTGTGTCTTTGCATTTACGCGAAATGTGCTTTGGAAGTCTATCATAAATTTGCATATACATGTGATTTTGTAGAACAATATTGAATCACCCGTATAGACACAATTATTTGAAAAAAACGATATATATTTTGTTGATTGATAAAGTTTGTTATCTTCAAGTGTAATTTCAATTCTCGAATCGAACCGAAATTTGCTTATAAATGCATATTCCTCGTCCTTCGATTTTTGTAAATATTTTTGTCTTCAGCTTAATATTCATATCTCAGAAAATTTTTTCCGATTATCTATCTTCTCTGTTGCGTGACTTTTCTGACCTTTTTCTCTTATCACGTAGATAGCAAAGACTTGCGCGTTTAAAGATTACGATGCATTTAACCGAAGTGTTATCAAGGAATTCTTGTTATCGAGAAATAGCGAACAAAGTATCCGCCAATATAGAGAATGTGTCCGTTCTTTTCAGCTATACATTTTTTGCACTATTTATTTTTATCGGTGATTTTATCGTGAGAAGACCTTGATTGGACATATATTTTTTCTGCGAAGATTTGGAAGTTTTTTTTTTTACGCGGAGGATAACGTTGCATCTTCACAAATTAACGGCTGGTAAACCGAAATTCGTGTGCGATTTTGAAAAGTTCCCTATATGCCAGGTTGAAGTTTCCCTTTTCTCTTCAAGAACTGTAAGACATTGTAAAGCACAAGCACTCTATTTCTTTCTTGTGTGCGATTTTGAAAAGTTCCCTATATGCCAGGTTGAAGTTTCCCTTTTCTCTTCAAGAACTGTAAGACATTGTAAAGCACAAGCACTCTATTTCTTTCTTGTGTGCGATTTTGAAAAGTTCCCTATATGCCAGGTTGAAATTTCCCTTTTCTCTTCAAGAACTGTAAGACATGTAAAGCACAAGCACTCTATTTCTTTCTTGTAATTCTAATACGCATTTTTTGCAACAAATCTTTCAGACGCAATTCTTACAAGAAGAAAGTATTATTCGATCACAGATACGTCGTGACACGCACTATTGGTAGAGAGCAGCTGGTAGTAGCCTGCGTGAAAAAAATCTCGAATAAAACCGTGCAGTTTCACGTTTGATCACGTCGACAATATGTCAATTATGCTCGCGGTTCGAAGGAAGGAGGGTGTACAGAGAGAAGAATACAAGCAGCGCAGAAAGTGTGTAGCTGAACAGAGGAACAGAGCAAACAAACGGGGAATCAAAGCAGTCGGTGGTTGCCTATATGTACAACCGGAACAACCGGCCCCGGAAAGACCGGAGAGCACAAAAAGAGGCCGAAGCGTGAATTGTGGAGGTGAGGTTGCGTGGTCGCAAGAGAGAAGACAAAGAGGTCGTGCTGTTGTGCTGCTAGTGCGAGATGCCGGACCGTGGGACTTACACGAATATATTATGCACGAGGTAATAAGAGTTAGTCCCTTTTTTTTTAGATTTTTCTCTCTCTTCTCTGGGAACGCGCATTAAATCAAGGAATGAGGAATAATGTGAGAAGGAAACGACAAATGTGTGTGATGACATACACCTTTCGTACGTGAAGGGTAGGAAGATGTTATGTGAGGGTTAAAGCGGAACTTTTTGTGGCTCGTTAAGTCGTGTTGAGAAGTCGCGACCGGAAATGCTAAAACCGTGGCTCTTTGTTACACGAGTCCGGCCTGCTTCGCGTTTTCGATGTCCGGAATCTTCTTTTCTTTTTTTCTAACGATCGAGGTTTGACGTTTCTTCGGATCGTTAGAGCAATCTTGACGGGTTTCGACGACTGATCAATCTTAATTACGCCGATCGTAGGTAATCATCTTGAATCATAGAGCTCGATACACAATGCAACTGCGACGATCAATCGATTTCACGGATTAATTGAACTCGCGTGAAACTGATGATGATGGCAATAATATGATGATGGTAATTTATGCAGAGTATTGTCTTCTCGGGACATTTAATCTGAGAAATGATGTCTTCTCAATGAAATCACAGTTTTTGACACATCTTTCTCATCATTTACGGTCGAAATTTTGACAAAAAGAAGAATTTTGACTGAAGAGAAGCTTCTCCTTTCAGGATCGATATGATTATAGTTTTATTGATACTGATAGTTTTATTGATTATGATATTTTGACAGTTTTTGCATTCATATCTTCTTTCGAAAAAAATCCAATTATATCGGCCGCTTTATATATTTTGAGAAAGTATTATGAAAATTCGTAGATGTATTTTGTACTCGTCTGAAGCAATCAGAATTAATTTTGAGTAATTAGTATACCACGATATAAAATTCATCATATCAGGAATTTGTAGTACAGAATAACAAAGTTTTGTAGCGCAACATTAAAAACAACACGAAATTATCCTTATGATCTGCTTCTATTGCTGGATTTTGTGATTATTATTAGAGTTTTTAAAAAAAGGTCTTTAAAAAAAACGTGTGCTTTTAAATCTGAACTTTAATTCAATATATACTTGTTCTTTAATTTTCTATTTTCTAAATGTCCTTTAATCTTTTTTTTTGCTTAGAATTTCTTCGTTTTCTTCAAACGGAGCAAGTCGATCCCAAAATATTGACGTGTAAAATTAAAATATTTTTGAAAAATACACTGTACGGTGTGCAAGATAACGAACAAGATTCCTTTGTTTTCTCGTTGAAATGATGAGAATATTTTGTTATTGAAATATCGGTGAATATATAAATAGTAACCGTATGTATCTTAAATTGCCATTATTTATTATTGAATAGTCATCGCTGTTTTATTGCAAGTCCGTTTTTTAAGTATCACATATGTCATGTACGATTTGAATTTTATTCGGTAAAGTATCACTAACTTAAATTAATGTGGTATTACTCGGTAGGATCAAGAATTACGTATGTATTATGCTGTTTTGAAATAAGTTCGAATGATACATTCAATAATGAGTTCCGTGAAAAATGCTTGTGTATTTAAAGAAACCTTTTCTATTTATACGCGCATTTCCTTATAATGTAAACCAATTTCAGAAAAGTATCATAATATGAATTTGGAAAGCATACAGACTATTCTCATGTGGCAGGTGGGAGTTTTACGGTATTAAAAAATATGGCAAAAATTCACATGCGAGGTCCAAATGGAGTAAATTTTTCGTATTAAATATCGGATAGAGCTTTATCGGATAAATTTATATTTTTATTGTTCTCTTCTCTCAATGATTGTAAGCGAATTTATCTTGGGTCGATGATTGAATTTTGTAGATTCAAATAGATCTTAAATGGAAATCGATATCGCGGATGTATTAATCACTGATATTTCCAGTAGTATTTTAAACAACAGGGTTCACATGCTCCTTTGGAATCTTATTTAAGAAATTAATTTGGCGAATGAACGAATTCAGCGACCGAATCAATGCAGTGTTCATGTGCGCTGATACGATCGACAGCTCTTTCTTCTCCGCCAAAAAAATTCCCCCTCATATTATTATTGATCGAATACGCGAACAGGTGTTTAAATCACAATAGTGTAATTTTTATCGTGACATTCCGACGATATTGAATACTTATAATAATTTGGAGTAAGATAATATTTAGATATTTTTCGATATTTTACTATAGTTAATATTTGTTCACTTTATACAGGACTTGATAAAATGCAGTACCTTATTTGTCAGATTTTAATTAAACATTGAAATTTGCATCAAATGATAGAAAAACAATTTTTGTATTTTTTATTAGCAAAATTTGTTCGGACCAGTTTTATTGCCTGTAATACGAAACTGTAAATTTCATAATGAATCCACTTTTCTTTTGTTATATCGTTATAGAAAGTTTATATTATCTATTCAAAGCCTTAAAGAGTAGATTAAAATATATGTGCCAAATAAAATTACAAACCATAAAATTTTTCTGTCATACCAGAAATGAAAATTTAGCTGTAGAATGGTAATTTTTTTTTCATCATATCATATCACATTATATGTAAAGTACGTGTGTTGAATGCTTGTAAATATAAAAATATTAAAAAATTGCCTATTTTTTATGTATTTGAATTTGACGCATCTAATTTCCATAATTGTGATTTGAAATGAAATTTAGATCAACTTTATTTTTCGGTAAAACAAATAAAATATTAGTTCGAAATCGCTTCTTTCTATTATATTACGATGAAGAATTTTTCCGCAATTTTTATTTTGCTTATTATTAAAAGAGTAAATCTTGTGGCCATTTTTTCTATCAAATTTCAATCTTGATTGTAATCTACTTTTTATTTCGGAATATTATTATTAATTTATGGATTAATATCTATTACAATTTAATATCTATTACGATAGCTAATTTCTGTTGGTTCTTTATTTAACTATTTGTCCAGATAATGTAATTTTGCGATGAAAAAGTTTTGCCATGAAAAAGTTTTGTTTTATATTACATATCAATGAAGCCAATTGTATATCTGATGTATATCTGACGAAATTTGAATTGACATGAAAATTGCAATTAGTAATTAGTAAACATTTATTTCATTAGTCACATTTCACACATAAACAATACATAACATACTGGTTAAATCAAAATTTTAATTTACGAAATTGCTTGTTCTGGAACTGCATATTTTGATGACATTGGAATTATGAAGAGGATTAATCAGCAAATAATATTTGTTATGAAAGAATATAATATCTTGGAATATTGTCTGTTAATCAAAATAAGCATGTCGTCGATAGCAGCAAAAAAACCAAAGATAACGAAAGATGTACCGTATCATATCATGTTATTTCTATCTGCAAAGTTTGTGATAAATTTCTGCTATATCACTGTCAATCCAAAGTACACAAATAATTAATAAACGTTCAAAAGGAATAACCGGTTATTAATATCCAATAATGATGTAATGAAGTAGAATAAATTTCAGGATTGTTACTATAATTTTTATATTTCGCGGATGCATTCTATTTTTTTTATCGATATAAATTGTTTACGAAAATTTGTTATATTTTTATTTCTTGTCATGTTATACCTTTGTATCGAGTTTCACTGCATTGATTCATTAAAGTTTTTTCAATAGCGACAAATTGGGATCGACTTAAAAAAAATTTTAGCTATTAGTTTCATATTAATTGTAGCCAATGTAATATTTTACCATAGTAAACAATTATTTTCGAACAGCACACGTTTAAATATTTTCAACTCGAGCAATTTCGAGCAATTTGAGTTCGGCATAATGATCGATTAATAATTGGGACAAAATTGATTGCTTCAGAATATCCGTCAATGATATATCTGTCAATGTCGTCTTCAATTATGTCAGGTTTTTGGAGATATTTCACCTGCTTGAATCTATGCATATTGTCGAGTTGAAATTTTATTCCCGCTATTGCATGATGAAAATTTTGAGAAATGATACTTCACCATGGAGATTTTCGCGTTGCATTATTTTATGCACAAAAAACACATGTGGTGTATCGATAATTTATGGATATGCGGGTTGAAATATAAAGATGCAGAGGTGTCTACGCATGCATGTTTTTCTTTCGTTGCATTTATTAAGCAGTTGGTGAAAGATGGAAGAGCGAATCGAGAGTCGGTACAGAAACAGCAGTTTAATTTAATTTATCGAGAATTATTGATGAATGATGCGTCAATTGAATACATGCATTTGTTTAATTTACACAGACAAACTATTACTGATGAATCTGTAAATCCAACTGTTGATCGATGTTAGGATGAGAGTATAGGTACGCGTTTAGTGCACTTATAGAATATACATGATTAATGATAATCTACAGGTGCAGCGAGAAACTGAGAATGTAATCATGATATCATTACTCTCGCAACTTCAAAATGAAGATTATTTAAATAATTTTTGTTTTTTTTGTACCCCGATATGAAACAGCAAATTATATATCCGCACGATACAATTTTGGATCAATTTATTATGTTGTTAAGGTCAACATTTCAGGAAATATCTTCTCGTAATTATTAAATTACTAAAATTATTCCTTATTTTTTGCAGATAATGATAAATAACGATGCGTGAATAATGATAACGCAGCTACGAGATAAGCAGATTGAGAAGAGCGCCTACTTTTAGACGAGTACAAAAGAGAATTTCGGAGGAACACTATTGCACACAGAACAATTTGATGAAGTGAAATGTTGAAGTATAAAGTAAGTAAAAAAAAAGAAGCGACAGAATTTTTTCGAACACGCAATGACGAAAAAGAGAGAGAGACGAGCAAATTTTTCAAGTCACATTTTTGGAAGGATATTAGTGCCTGGATAGAGTAGGTCCGAATAATCACAATTCGCGAGTAATTTCGGAATTTTGATCGTAGATTCACGCTATTCTGTCTCGCAAATTTTATTCCAAGACACCTTCGTCGCGATTAATTTAATTTTTCTTGTTTTTCAATAAAAATTGATCGTCTTCTACCTGACCGAAAATTTTCACGTGTATATAGTACTATTTAATAAAATTAGAACACCGTAAAAAACTATATATATTATTTTATATATATATATATATATTTCCATGATATCGCGCGTGAATTTAATATGTGTAATAATTAATCGCGCGCTGGTTAAACAAACATGTGGCATGCTTTTTGGAATTTAATATAAATTTAATTCAATTCGATTTTTTCGATCAATATTTTTGAAGCATGAACTAGCGAATTAAATCGCTTCCGGTGTTCGCATTTCAATGAATCGTACTGTGTAATCGACTATCATCTCCGCGAAAAGCTAACAGTAAGAACCGTCTTTCAGAATTTCATCTTATCAGAGATATAAATTTGTTAGCTTAAAAAAAATGTGCCGGTATAAACATATGATTTTCTCCGCAATAAAACGTTTGTGTGAAAACGTACTTTTTTCACTTTTTTTATAATTGCAGAGCGTTATTAATCGATGCAATATATATACCTTCGCACGCGAACATATATATATATATATTTATTTTGCCTCTTTTGCAACAAAAAGCACGCGGATTCGATTTTTCGCATCTTATGGCAGCCGATTATTATATTTACAGAGCAGTGCAAAAATTTCCGGCTTCACGAGGCAGAACGTCGAAGATCCGCGTGGGCCGAATGTCTCTAGACGACTTTTAGCGTAGTCTATCGAAGCACCAAGATCACGTGCTAGCCAGGACAAAAAACCCGAAACTATACTCACCATCGTGATAGTAGATGTAGGCTCCGATCGGATCTGCGACAGAAAAACGATGGCGAACGCCGATTAGATGTGCGGTCCACTTTCTCCTCTTCTGCTCGTCCTCCGCGAGAATCTTCCTCGACCGTTTGACCTCGACGGCCGGTCGGTCGAAGAAGAAGCCGATAGAGAGACTTCCTCTCCTTGCCGTCGATGCTGATGTTCTGTGATCGTTGCAGACCGAGCGGGCCCTTATATACTAGGCCCTTCCTTCTTCTCGGCGTGCACGAGGGTTGACGAGGAGGGGAGCCCTGTCCTTCAGCAAGGCCCTGGGAAAACGAATCGGCACAATGTTCCTTTTCAACCGCGCTCCCTTCTTGCCGTCCCTTACTTTTTCTCTCCTCTTCCCTTCGACGAAGAGGAAGAGACAGCCTTGATCCTCGAACGGGATCCTCCGGTCCTTACCTGTTTCCACGTAACGTACGCGTCGGTTTCCTCCCTCAGGATTTTTACCCCAACGCGAGGGATGCTCTTCTAGTCACCCCTCAAAAGGGGGCGAAGGTGTCCAGGTGCCCGGCTTGGAAGATAAGTCGGGCACTTTTGAAAAATTCGTCGCCACACGGTATAGAATTTTTGCCGGATGGTTTTTTGAGGTAGAAAAAGAGATTCAAGATGCGCGTGAAAAATAAATCTATCTCATCCAGATGTCGGGTTATTATCTTAGTCTTGTTGGCTCGCAGAATGAAGGTTCATAGATTTTTTTCGGTCGAAGGATCTAAGAATCTTTGCTTTGATGTATCGAATCTAGAAGAAAGAAAGAAAAGGAAATAATATTCCATAACTGAATAATACATTTTTTTTTTGTAAATTAAAGATGATTTATATATGTAAAATACTGCCATAAACGTGATCTTGCTCTCGAGCAATTTAAATATTTTAAATCCTTGAGTATTTTTAAATCATACAGATGTTTTCGTATCTCTATTTCAGTAAGTAGACTTGTTGCTCGCAATTTAAGTTAAAATTCGAGTAGAATTTCAAACTAGTTGGAATTAATATAAGAACGTTGTGTAATCTGATCAACAATATTGCAATATTTAAATATCGTTTCTGTTTAACGTGACGTGCATTTTCGATGAAACCGTTACTTCTCATCCCCTTTGTACGAAGACACGAAAATTATACCGGTTTAGCGTTTGTGGCAGCTAAATCGATTTCCTCTTTTACATATCTCAACGATTTCTTTAACCCCTTTGATATCTACGGATCCAGTTGTATGAATCTCATCCGTTGACCGTTTCTTCTCGCAGAGGAAACGCTCCCTGTTTTCTTTCTCCCCTTCTCGAACTTTCCACCGGTGCACGTTCAGGACTTGAAGTATACGTAAAAAAAGATGACACATCTTGAAAGCAATTTTATATTCGACGTCCCCATAGAGATGTTATTAAAACTTTCAATTTTCAATTTGGAAGAGATACAGCGATCAGAAAACGTTTTGGAAAATTATTAGTTAATTGTTTTCTAGATTCTATTTATTTTTTATTTTTATTTTATTTTTTCTCTCGGTTGTTTAATCTTTTCCCTTTATTAATATACTGTTCTCTCGATTATTATTTTCTCAATCAACTTATTTCTTCGTCTCATTGATATATCACCCGAATCGCGATCAGGGTGGTGTGTAAACGGTTTTTAAAAGCACCGACACGTGCCACCCGCAGCACACAATATGCTCCTATAATCGGAATTGATTCCTCGACTATTCAGGCAAGATCGACGTGAATCATTCGGCAAGAACATTTAAATGAATACTCGTCGACGTGCGTAATGTTAACTATGCGGGTGCGGGTACCCCATCAGGGGGAGATTACTAGGGTAGATAATTGGTTAATGACTCTTGTCTCTCATTTTTTTTCTCATTGTGTTTGTTACGATAGTACAAGTATATCAACTCGTTTTTGCTATAAATTAAAATTATTTCGCGACGAAATTTGTATTACAGTATCAGAATCCATTCTTCTTGTATCGATATTAAAAAATAATTAATAGAGGGATGAAATTTCTCTATATATTTTTTGTATTAAAAAATTGTTATAAAAAAATTAAAAGGCAAAAATGCTGTATTTTGTATAGCAGTATTCATTCTGTCGCAACGTAATTTTTTATTTATAGTAACAATAGAGAGTTCTAAAAATAATGAATTGATAATGGAAAAATAAAAAAAATTATTAATTGAAATTTTATAATAGATATAATTCTAATTCCCTTTTTTCTGTTTCAGGAACTATCTTCAATTTTGCCTGCCATCCAGTAAATAAAAAAATGTTGCTCTTGCGTTTTCTGGAGTTCAATATCTACGGTATTTAAAACATATACTATATATATGCACACAAAACTATTTCCTTAATTAACGCGACAATTCTAAATATTTCTATTGTTTATTAATGATATGGAAATAAGTTTGAAGAAAAAATTGTTCCATTTTCTCTAAGTAATAATTAACAAAAATATTTTAGCAATATCATAATTTCCTTGATTTCAAAGATAAGCTTCTTTTAAATGAAAAATCACATTTTTCCTTCTGTTTCATAATTAAATCGATTCATGTATTTTTATTGCGATTGGTAAATTATTGTAATAATTACTCGTCGTTATTTCCGATAAGGCAGATGGCCGGAACTGCAGTCCAGTTTCTCGACGTGACCCAGGTAGTTATTTATGCAACACTTAGCGCACAACCCGAGGGGTGGCTACCGAATCTGGGGTGGGAAACGGGTGTGCTACGGCATTTCTGCATCCCCTGCATTCTCACGCGAACGTCAATACATATGAAAAGAGCTACCTGTGCAAGGAGTGTCATTTTTCAGACAGGTACACACATGTATGTGTGACTTGCTCGTTTTCATTGTGTGATTTTTATCGTGACGTCATCAATGGACAGGACGCGTCACGATATAACGGCTTTGATAATTGCCCCTTCCTTGCTTTTATATCAAAATAATTTGTAAATTCACGAGTAAATGTTGAAGACAATTAAATTTATTTTATCCATTTTTTATCTCAATTTTTGACGAAATAAAATATACATTAATAAAATGGATGTCAACAAATCATTTAATAATAAAGAGATATATATCATCGCATGCTTAATTAATTTAATATAATTGTATTTTGTACATATCGTTTATTTTACAATTTCTGAATTGATACTACACATAAAAATAATATTCAGTCAATCAAATATTAGATTAAATTTTACTCCTTTAAATGCCCATGCATTTTATTAAAAGCATATAATTGCATTATCTTGTTATAGAAATAAGATCAAGATTACAAAAAATAAATGTTAAGGATAAGAGAGAATTTTTATTACACAAGATTATATATAAATTATAAATCAATCACACACGCTCCTTTCCCTCATTACAACTTAATGCAACAATATCTTTCTCTTAGTAGTTGAAAAAGTGTTGAAGAATATAATTTTGTGCAAAAAATGTTCTTTAAAATTCAGTGTAATCATTATTCAAATGCATACTATATATTTTATTATTTTTTTCGAAAATTCGTATTATTAAAAATTTAATTATTGTTCTCTAACACACATATGCATACAATTAGAATTGCAAACATCCATTATTCTCTTTATTATTGTGATTAAAATAAGATAATGTTTTTTTCCTTACATAACAAGGCAAAGGAATTAAAGATTCGCGAATATTCATAGTTATTCCATACTCCATCGCATAGTAAATACGACGAGCAAACGAAGGGAGAAAGCGAAACGAGCGCTATTTCTTGAGCCCTTCGACCTTTCGACCCTCTGGGTCTCCCTGATCCCGATCCAAAACTACTGCTGCTATTGCACAGTCGCCTGGTTTCGTACATTTCTATACACACATCTGCTTTATGTTCTCACGCTATTTTCTTTTCAGCTTAGAACCTTCAAGTAACGATGATGAGTTTTGTTATTGGGATTTAAGAAATTAAATCAATATAAAAATATAGAAAATATTTAGTTTCTTAATTTAAAAAATTTGATTATATATATTTTTGTAATATATAATTATATTTTTCTCGTGTCTAAATTATACATGTGTAATTTTAATATTAATTGTATATTGAAAATTTATAATTTTTTTGTACCTAATCACTCTTGTTCGGTATAAAGTAATAACACGCAAAATTTTTTTATGATTTATAAATTAATAAATATAATTATATATCTTTAGTTAAAAGTTCCATTTTTGTTCGAAATATATTTATTAGTATCACATAATATGTCCAGATAAAAAAAGAAAAGCAAAAAACTAAACAAAAATTATAAGTTATTTTTGAACAATAACATTATTAGTATTTAATAAAAAATAGTTAATGATATTAATAAATGTGTATGTGCAAGTGATAACATGTGAAAAATTTTCATTATTTTTAAAACATAATTTATAATACAAGAAAGTTTTTATTGATTTCTTTGGAAGTTAATACATTTATAACAAGATGTAGCAAAACGTTTTAAGATTTATTATTTATTAATTTTGATTTGTTATCTATTAATCTTATAAGCTTTTTGGTACATTTTTCATAGATCCTAGTAGTATGTAACTATTTTAAAAGGTGAAGAAAAAAGTGGGACTTGTGGGAATCACAGTAGGATGAATGTAAATATATATAAAAAATAAAATATTTCAATATTTTTATATTTAAGAAATCATACATATGATTCGGGAAATTCGAATGTTACATCCCGCCCAGTCAATTGCTTATATACTGAAGCAAAAGTATCAACCTACCCCAAAAGGTAAATTAAAATAATTACATACATGATAAGAACTCGCATAAATAATATTATATGTAAAGAAAATAAATGAACATACCTTATGCTCAATATTTGTTTGCTCGTTTTTATCCAAATGGACTTTAATAAGTTGAGATCCATCCAGTTTCACTCTAATACGTTTGCCAACAATTTCCACAGGATATACAATATCCTCCAGTAAAGCGTCATAAACAGAGGTCAATGTTCGGCTAAACAAAATAAATTACAAATTAATTAAATTTAATTAGAGAAATTATACATTATTAATTATATTATTTTTGTAGAACATTTAAAAAAATAAAAACAAAATACATATAAGTAATATAATATAATTAAATTACATTTAAATTTAATCATACAAATATAAGCACAAATATAATTAATATATATTATGTTTTTACCTTCTGGGACGCTTTTGCTTATTTTTGGTTCGAGTTTTCCTTGTCGGCTTCGGTAAAATTTTACGTTCTCCAACAAACATCACATGTTTGCCAGAAAACTTTTTCTCTAATTCACGTACTAATCGTGTTTGTATCTTCTGAAATGCTTTTAACTTGGGCATGGGAACGTAGATGATTATGGACTGTAAAAGAGTAAAATGACTTTAATATATGATTCTTTCACAACACAAATAGAATTAAATAACATATGTTAAATGTAAAATCTCACCTTTTATTGTTAGTTTCTAATTCCTTTGCCTTGGTAATGTAAAGTTCCCTTAAATGCGATTTTAAATCGCTATTCATCTCCAGTTCCAGAAGAGCATTCGAGATGCTCGCCTCGAACTGGTCGGGCTCGGCTCCGCCGCTTTTAACTATTTTTGCATTGGCCGTGAACATCTGTAAAAATTTCGAGGTTAGAATATTGTTTGTCAGAGTTATTTAAATATTCGTGCGAGATGTGTTCGTCGAAATGTTTTATGATAATGTTAACTCAGACGGATTCTGTGAAAATGCTGGAAACGTTTGTTTAATGCAAAAATAAATATTAAATGCGGCATGATGTGCAGTGAAATGCAACGTGAACGTAACCTGACAGAATCCAGCGTAATCAGTATCGTGGATTTGTCATCCGGGAAATATATTAAAAGCTACACATTTTACGAGACTTTAATTGTTAAACAATGTAAAATTTCGTATTTTTTTTAACTATTTAATTGCCGCAAAATTAAATGTTCAAAAACACACACCTTGCTCACTTGACAGCCGTGGAAAAAAGGAATCGACCTAGAAATACAACTCGTATGTGGATTCCAGACACCTGCTAGGTTTTTTTTTGCCAGGAGCCTCTAGTGTAACTAGTTACATTTTTATTCGTTGGTGCAAAACATTTTTCTTCGCATTGTGGTAACACTGTCTATTGAATGGACAAATTTTGTAACCTTTCAATACCACGAAGTTTCACTTCTTGATATTAAAATTTACGATAATATACACATTAAAATAATATTATAATTGGTTGCGGATAAATTCGCATTTTTATTATTTAATGATTTGTCAAGTATCTATTAGCAAGATTATTTATATATCTATAGATTCAATCAAGATTTAGGTTTTAGGTTCAATAACAGAAGTTTTCTCAGTGTAAAAGAATATTTAATTCTATATTAATATTATTATTTAATATTTATTCAATAGAGATTTATATATATATATACACAAGTATTTATATATATTAATATAATGGATTCAGTAGAAGGTTTACATAATTCTTCAAATGAAGGTATAGCTTTGTGATAATAATTTTGAATATTACAATAATATAATACGCACTTAATAATATCAATTCTCATTTTTTTGTTACAGTGGCTGCCTTAGTAGAAAGAAATACTATACCACAAGGTATATCATTAATTGATCCAGTTGCTGTAGCAAAATCTAGTCGGCAAGATTTGATAGCATTGGTAACAGAAATTGAAAAGGTAATGAAACAATTTTAGATAATTTATAGTTTAGTTATATGTATATATACATATACATATAATATAAACATATATATATATATATATATATATGTATGTACACATAACTTATCAATATCTTGTCAATATATTTTTCATTTTTATATTTTCTTATACATACATAGGCGGATAGGTGTATAAAAGCTAATGCATGTAATAAATTACAAGTAATCGCAGAACAGATCAGATTTTTACAAAAGCAAGCTGAGAGTATCCTGCTGGAAGCAGAACAAAATGCAAAATTGCATCATGTAGCTTGTAATTTTGTAAAACAGCCTGGCCATATATATCATTTATATCAACGAGATTCGGGGCAACTTTATTTTTCTATGCTTAGTCCAGAGGTGAATAAAGTGACTTTTGTGTCACTAATTAATCTTATCAAAGTATAAAATATAAGATTAATATTAATTCGATATATTTTATTATTCTTGTTAAAAGGACTGGGGTAATTCTGCACCATCACAGAGTTATAAAGGGTCTTTTAGATTAGAACATGATCGCTCGTGGACTCCTGTATCTAAACTGCAGGTAAAGGATGATGAATTACTCCTATTTAAAAAATTATTACCTTATAATAAGACAACAAATGCTCTTTTGCAAACTGTTATAAATACTAGTACCTAACCAATTGATTGTTATAAATATCTAATAATCTAATAAATGAAATGAAATTAAAACTGGATTTAAAAGAAAAAGATAATATTTAAGCAAATACATGAAACACTGTTTATGCAATGCAATATTTAAAACATGTTGTAAATGTAAAATATAAAAACACTTATTGCTGAGAACAAATTTCTTTAAGATTATTATGAAATATTTTAAATATTACATTGCACAAACATTAATTAATGTTTGATAATTTATGTTAGCTTAAATATTTTCTTTTATATGATTTTTTTAAATTGCAAAAAAGTAAAACAAGTTAATTAAAGAGAATTTACAATACTGCTCAATATCAATCAATTTTTAATTTCTTTTCATTCAATATAAAAATAATCGAAAATAAGGATATATAAAACAGACAATATAGAGTATAGAGAATACTATTTACTTGATATAATTATAGTAAACTATATACATAATTTCGAAGTTACGTATATGATTACATGGCAAAACAATGTTTTGTACAAGAGTAGATTGTACTATGATAATACGTTTATTTAATTCTATTGGTTGTGCAATTAATTAAAAATATTTTCTATATCCAATAATATGTATATTAGATCAAAAGTAGCATCTTTAGTCATAGTGATCTTTGTATGACTGCAAAAAGATCAATATGATTTTTAGAAATATAATATATTTATCTATTTTTATATTGTTATACATTTCTATAGGCAGTAGGTAGATTTGGGTTTGACTCTGTTTTACTCTTACCATATTACATGGCATCTGGAATACAATTCCTATGAGCAAAATAAATTTATCATAGCGCAAACACATATTATTTAAATTTTTAGTTTATATATATAATATATAAACTAAAATTAACTTCAAATTTTTAGTTTATATATATAGTATCAAACTAAAAATTTGTGTAAATATGTGCATATATATTTACACCTATTTGTATGAATTTCTTTTGGAACAACTAAATATCTATGTATATGATACAATTATCTCTTCAGGATGCTTAACTTTAGCAAAATACTTAACATATTCCAAATATTGCGTAGCTATTTTTAAATATAAGCAATTTTACCATAAAAACAATAACATACAAAGCATAAGGATCAATGAACACTTTTAATATTTCTTGCCCTTTATATAAAATTAAAGAAAAAAATCTACACTGAAGTAATGCCAATCATTGACGAGGACTGCGATGACTGCGTCTTGGTTTTGATGTTGAACGCATATGTCAAGTGGTATTTACTTTATGCGCTGAAAAATATAAATAAGATATACACATATTACTAAATTAGATACAGATTTATTTTTAACAAAATAAATAAAGTCTTACATGAGACTGGTATCCTGAGAGGTGCATCATCATGTATAACACATTCATGCGTTTGAGTATGGAAGAGATATTGTACCAAGAGCTGCTTATCTTCTCCCACACATGGGTCATAAAATCCAGGTAATTGGCTCTGCAAATATATACATATATATATAGATTTAAGAATATAATAATATTTTAGTAGTATATATATATATATATATATATATATAACTAAATTATCTCCAATTTATTAATTTAATTATAAATATAAATATCTGAATGATGGCATGAACTTAGAAACATAAATTGTAAAACAAAAATTCAACAGTACAAAAAAGTACATAAAGAATTCTAATACCTTAGACGCCTTGTGAAGAATCAATTTGGAATCCTTGACTAAGCATTGTAGAGGAATTGTTACATCTATCATTTCATCCCTAAGTCCGCTCTCCTCTGACGTAGCTCGATCCTGTTGAGGATAAACAAATCGACCATATAAGGCTTTGGTAATGATTAATCCTTTCTTCGACTCCTCTTCGGCTCTTATCCTGCTAACAGTTTCTTTCATTAGTTCAGTGGCAGCTTTGGCTTCCCTTTGTTTCTCCATCATTCTAGATTTGTTCAGCTCCCTTTGTTTCTCCTTTTCACGCTCTTTGCGCTCCTTTACAACTGGATCAATTATGAGCTTTTTAATGACTGTCCAAGTAATTATAGGTGCCACAGTGGCATAAAAGATGGGAGCTGGTAGAACCTCGTCACATAAGTGGATAGGGAACGTATACGATTGAGAGGCGCGACTTAGTCTAATTTTTAACGTGACACCTGTTGGAACGCCGATACGCACAGCTGCTGAAACTGAGCTATGTTTAGATACTTTCTTCTCTGCACCATATTCGAGAAACGCGCCAAATGTGCCAGCCCTGTAAATTATAAAAAAATTAATTACGTGCAAAACTTTCCATCAATGATAGAGATACAATTCGATAACATTCAGCGACACTAACTTGACACTACCACGAAGTTTGAGCTGCTTCTCTTCCATTTTATAAGTGTAGTTAAGACTAACGAAAGAATGTATAAGCCCGAAATGTATGGAAAAAGATGTGTACGATCGAGACGTGTCTCGTACAATCATGGTGCTCATGGCACCTTGAATGCCAGCTCTGTATGTGAGATATCCAACTGTATGTTTATCCAACTGCATCGCAAGAGCTGTGTAAATAAAATATTTCTGTAATAATTTAGATTACTTGAGCTCAAAATTTCGTTAATTTATAATGTGCAAATAAGAATAGAGATGAAAATGATGTCACTACAATTAATTTAAAGAGTATATATGTAAGGGAACATACTTCCAACATAACCAGCTTTCACACCATGCGACGTAAATTGCAACATTGTTGCTCCATCGCAAAACAGTCGTTTTGTTAATGTGCGAAATCCTTTGAGAGAAATTGTTGGACCATTGCCAGCTCCCATCTCAATTTCGACCCAACCCTTCGAAGATATCAATCGTTTCGCCGAAACATTAAAGGACCCAGAACCTGTACCATTTTGGGTCCCGAGTTGACCAGACATAGTCACAGTGTCCCTCAGAGTGAGGGGTGTTTCGATAGACTGTGCAAATGACATCCCACTGACTTCGATGCAGGAAAGCAATCCACTGCTGAAAAAAGTTCATAACATTTTATAATCAAATGTTACACATTTTAATTATTGAGTAATTAATTATATTTATTAATTACTCAATTTCTTTTTATTATATTTTACTGTAATAATTTTGATCAATCAATCTTACCCACTATTATAATCGTCATCGTATTTACTAAAAATATCGGTGGCATTAATGTTTACTGTTACAGTGCCTTTGGGATTTGTGTGCTGCTGCAAACGTCTCTCTTCTCTCTCCCTCGCCAGCCTCTCATATTCCTCGCGGATTTCTTGAGGTGTTTTTGTACGCTGTACAATTTCCCATCCTTCTGTTTCTAATCCACGGATTCCCAACGAATCATAAATTGCTCTTTGATGCGGATCACTTAGCACTGCAACAGCCAAGTATTACTTGAAAATGTGCACAATTATGCAAGAAATAAAAAATAGTCCACATAAAATATCTTGGAAATTTACAAGTAAGTCAATCAAACATTTTATTTTATATAATTGCCATATATAAAAATAATAAGATTCAAGATATTAGTAATAATACAAAAAAAGAATAATTCTAAAATAATGATAGTTTCTTGACATAAAAAATATGCAAATATCAGCATACGATACAAACCTTCATACGCTTTCTTTGTACGATTAAAAAGAATCTCTGCCTCTTTCTTAAGTACCGGATCTGTATGCTTGTCAGGATGGTAAAGCTTACTTTGTCTACGATACGCATTGCTAATGTCTTCAGGACTAGCCTGTAATGTCAAAATAAACAAATATATAATGATGCATATTCATCATTGCATGATGCAATGATAAAGCAATTGGTAAAGATAAATTTTATGAAAGAAAAGATTGAGAAAAGAATACATTTTAAGCAATATTCATTTATATATAATGCAAAAACTAAATAGATTTGGTGTTATAGGAGAACATTGTTACAAAAAAAGAATAGTATTTTGAGAAGAAAAGTCGAGAGAGTGTAAAGTTCAATTGACGTTATTGATTTATATTGCCAATTTTCACGATTTTTAATATCTACGAAAAATCGCGTTCTAATCACGAAAAAAAATAGAATTTTCTGCAATGGGGAAACTATTACGTCAGCATTGAAAAGAAGCACGAAAATGTCACGTGGAGGGCCAGAAACCGATCTCGACCTCCTATGAAGCGGAATAAAGTTACAAAGACAACTACAGCAGAGGGTCTCTCACATTTCTCGGGATGTTCAAGAAGGTGTAATAATCATCCTCGATTGTATTTTCCTGATCACTCTCGTCGTCCATTTTAAAACTTGCCAATTTTGTCCACGTTCGACGAGTCTCGACAGAGATCGCGCGATCGCCCGTATTTTCCTAGCTTTTTATAGGTTACGTTACAAATTTGAGATGTAGAATATGTATATATAACAGCAGGCCGGTTGTCCGATAAATGACTTCCTTAGTTTCTCGTTAGATGGCACCTGCTGCTGCAGAATCGCTCGATGACAATATTTAATTCAGAAAGCTGCCGCAGGGTGGCGCCACACAGATCGCGAGAGGCTTGCTGTATGGTCACATGACCAAGGCTTGCCTTTTGCCCAATAAAAAAAAAAACAGTCTAAACATTCAACTAGACATGGTTTTGTTTCAATAGTAACGGTTCGCGAGCGGAGAGTATATTTTTAATTAGCTCGTCGATTTTCATATAATTATACAGCACTGTTATAAACAATGATGTACGTATATAATTAATTCAGAAAGTTGATTGTATGGAATTAGAGTCTTGTATTAAAAATTATTTTCAAATATTACAGAATGCTACTTCATGCGATGATGCGAGTCGAGGACTTCCTCCATCCATATTTGTTGGTAAAAATTTCAAACTTACGAATTCAGCAAGCGAAAAGGTATATATAAAATAAATTAATTATTCAGTTCACATTATATACAGCTGTTTTATATTATTTGCATCTCGATCGCTTTACATTTTTAGAATAACCCAGGTAGCAAGCTGACGTCATTAAACATCAAAATGCTACCTGGGAATAAGGTTTATTTTTAGAATAAATGTGTTTAATTGGGAACGAATTATTATTAATTATAATATATTATATTAATTTAGATCGATTCGACGAACGTGCTTCTGTTCGAGCGTGGTCCTCTCCGCGATTGACTTATACGTGAAGGGAGTCTTGTATTATTTGTTTGGCCAATCTATTGCGTTCGGGAAGAAGAAGAAGAGGAGGAGAGAGAGAAGAGAAAGAGAGATTTTTATGGCGCGGTTGGAGGGCAGCGAAGGGCTTCGCGCGCGTGCAAGCAACATCACAGTCGCGGGTAAACGTAATATTATGCGACGGCGGGTCGCCTTTTACGTAAACATTTACGCCTCGTAGCAACGCTAAAATATGAAGCCGTCGGAGACGGGATTTCGAGTGCCGGGACCCTCCGTCTAGACCCGAATAATTTACGAGATCGGCTCTTCCCTACCCAAAGTTTCACTTAGACACGTATTCAAGGTAATATATACATTATATAGGATATTGTCTAAATATATACATATATAGATGACATTATATATTATATATTATTAGAGAAACGTTGAAACAGGAAGACAAATACAGTAAATTTAAAAATCTTGAAAATTAGTCATATTAGAGGTTAGATTAAATTAGTATCTTCTCTCTCATTTGTTTTATATAATTATTTTATTGTTGTGAGAGATCATGGGCATCCGCAGAAGGGGGCAAGAGAAAGCATTTGCTCTTTTTTTTGAATAAACACTGGACTTTATTTGCATACTTAATATAAAAAAGAAAATTAAAAGAATTAAGAACAAAAAAATTTTAATTATGCTTCCTCCTGGAAGAAATCCTGCGGATGCCCATAGATGGAGATATGTAATTTCAAAGGATGATAATTGCTATGCAAAATTTGTAGGGAAAGATGCATGCGTTCTGCAAAAAGAAGGTAACATTGAAAAATAATTGTCCGTCCTAAGAGAGCGTTTTAAAGGCGAGACGAGAGAGGAAGAAATGGTGCTTCTATACAGTCACGACTATACTCCTGTAACTATAACGTCTTGCATGGAACGTGACCGCGTGGTAATCGCTCCTGTCTCGCCTCCGCCGCGACAAACGAACGACTATAAAACGGCAGTAAAACCGACTGGGGGTTAGACTGGAGCACGAGAGAAAGGGTGGAAGAGAAGGAGAGAGAGAGAGAGAGAAAGGTCCAGTCCGGGTCGAGAGAGGCAGTTTGCTTTGACATTGCCTAATCAAAACAGGGACTCCTTCTCCCGTTTCATCGTTCGTTCTCCGGGCAAGGAATAAAAAGGCTCCTTGGTTGCGCGATTTATCGCTTTTTGATAACCAATTCGTTCGCGTTGAGAGATCGAGAAGCAAATACATTTGATCTGCTTTGTTAAATAAACTTAAAATATAAGAGATTTTTTCTATATGTAGATAGAAAATGTAATATCGAATTACACATTTAATATTAGGTGTATGTGAAACTTTACGTTACTACATTAAACATTATTGTTATCAGGGAAGTCAGGAAGATATAAAAATAGACACTGGAAAAAAGGAGTTAACCATCGACGGACCAGCTTGTCGACGATAACGAATGATATGGAGACCGCAGCAGAGGGAAACGAGGAGGAGACGATAGGCACAATTGAACACGATCAGCCGGTCGATGTTACCAAACACGGTCATTGTGCCAGGTTAACAATACTCCGCTATATCAGCAACATTGGCGTTCGTAAGTCCCAGCATTTGGTCAACAATTCGCGCACCCGGCCATAGCAGCTGTTGAAAAATATCCGGCCGCGCTTTGACCACTGTTGCTCCGATTTGTTTCCGTTCATGTCGCCAAACTCGCGTATGATCCGCGATTTCCGTAAATCCTCGACAGAAAAGCTGATCCGAGGTGCGATCTAAACTGCGAGTAATTAAGAGACACTTTTATATTTAGATTACAATACACTGAAAAAATTTGTTAACTTGACTACATCGTTCAACTAAATATTATTAATTGAATATGTAGAAATATTTAAATTAAAATATAACATATTTTAAATCTAACAAAATGTATATTTGACGTAAATACTAATATATATGTTCAATTAACAAAATAATAATTTAGTTGAATGGTTTAATCAAGTTAATAATTTTTTCAGAGTGTAGGTGTGGTTGTCTCTTTTCTTGTTTCTTTAAAAGGGGGGTGTAAATTAAAAAAAAATATCTCTAAAAATATGCAAATATTTTGCGCGCGTTAAGCTTCAACACATAAATTTTTAAATATATATATTAATTTAGATCTCTCTATCTTATATATAATTCTTTAATTACGAAATATCAGAATGAAGTAATTTTCTTATACGAGTTTTAACAATATATATTTCACACATTATTAATTTTTAGCCTTACAATTAGAATCTTGAAAAGTACAGACTTCTTTAATTAATCTTGCATTTCTTATAAGATGACAAAAAATATACATAAATCAAATTCTTTACATATCATTAATCTTATAGAAAGTTTTAATTCAGGAAACAATTTTTTCTTCTTCTCGCAGTCTTAAATTATTTTTATCAAATTATATTCAAGGATCTTATACATATAATTTTATGTTGTTGATGCAGAATCGAGTCATTCGGTTAAATCGAGATCTTGGAGCGGAAGAACAGCACGATCGCGTTTACGGAATCGACAGCTCATTATTAAACGGCCAGATCGTATTGGTTCTTTTCCTGATTTGCTCGTCTCCTGTGCGAATCGAATGCGAAACTTTGTCGGAATCGAGTGCGAGTGCGCGCCGAGTCGGTCCAGAAGGAGGCTTCGACCAATAACGCTGGTCGAGCGGCTCGTTGATGGTGGATGCCCGCCCCAACATGGCGTCGCAGCTTCCGTTTTTATCTTCCCCCCTTCCGCTTGAACCTCAAACGCTCTCACATCGAAGCATTTACGCATTTCGCGAGCTATCGGCAGCCGTCTCTTTTTATCAATACGTCATTTCTTCGTAATTTGTCTTGTTCCTTTTATTGCGTTATAGAGCTCCACAAGAGAGATGTATACTAGAATTCGTATAAAGATAAGAAAAGTATATGATACGATAAAAAAATTTCTATATTAACGTATAATAGACTCATTTCGGTGTAGTCATTTAAACATTAGCTATTATTGAGTAATTATATTTACAATACTCAATTATATTTATCTCTATGATGTATTTTCTCATATCGCAATTTACCAGAACTATCAGAGTTTTAAAATTTAATTAAATTAAATTTTAATTTAATCAGTCACAATTAACATATTTGTTATAGGGTAAATCGTCGATAATTGCAAGATTCAGATAAGATAAAGTTGAGGCTTTATATTAAAATTTATACATGATTGTTTTGTTTTTACATTAATACACTGAAAAAATTGACTATACAATTAATTTGACTATACATCTTTAAGTTAAATTATTATTTTGTTAATTGAATATATATATTAGTATTTAAGTCAAATATACGTTTTGTTAGATTTAATATGTTATATTTAATTTAAATTATTTCTATATGTAATCAACAAAATATTATTTAGTTGAAAGGTTTAGTCAAGTTAACAATTTTTTTCAGTGTATGAATAACATAATATATTCCAAATTTTTTTTGTATGTAAAATATTATAATTAGCTAATTAGTCTAATATTATCGAATAATTAAATCTTTACATATACAACGTTGAACTGTACGTGTGCTTAATGTAATATCTTTGACGGTCAGCAATTTCGACGATCGGTCTCATTCTCTTGACCTTAATTCTTGACATCGATCCTAAATGCGGTGGAGTAAAACAATAATTGCTTAATGCGATTTGTAAAATGCGACGTAAGCGTAATTACATAATCTTTGCTTGTCACGACCGACTTTCGGTATATCACGTTCATTTCCGTAGGTCAAATCCTTTGCCTTTTTGCCAAATTGTTTAATTTCCATTTTTTAAATAGATTTTCTATATTTCGCGGATTCTGAAAAAAAAGAATATGAGAACAATATGATTATATTTTTATTATAATAATTACATTTTAATCTTGAAACTTTGACGTCGACATTTAGAAAATTTTAATTTTTTCCTTTATTCTTGAGGGATACATCTAATATGAATATCAATTAATTTTTATTACGTACTTTATATTTAGAAATTTAATTTATGTAAATGTCATGAATGCCTCATGCTATTTAATATTATAAATAAAAAATTCTAGTTAGTATTTACTTGCAAGTTACAAATTACAATTTAGAATATATTGTATTAGATGTCCTATGCTATGAAAACATTATTTTTTTTATCTAAATATTCCTTATTTTTTATGAAATATTGGAGAGAAAGAGAAACTCTTATGAATAAGCACAATTGAATCTTTAATTGAATCTTTTCATCAATTGTTTCAAATAGCTCATCTCTGTTAATTATTTTATCTTTTTTATATTTTTCTTTTTTTTTTAATTGTATCGCAATAAAAAAATTAACATTATTATATACTCATGACATATACATAATAATTACTAAGAAAAAAAAGAGGGAATAACATATATGCATAAGTTTTTTTTCTTTTTAAAAATATAGAAAATCGAGAAGACAATAAAAAATATCTCGGAAAAAAATACAAGAATATATACGATGATTTAAAATTTTTTTTTTTTTTTTTTTCTTTCGTATCGTAGAAATATGACGTGAAATTATCGAACAGTCGGTCGCGGCGCGCTCGAATCGAGACATCGAGAGGAGGGCTTGAAGTCCGCCGCGACTTGCGCGACTCCGCCTACATTCACGTCGCACGGGCGCGCGCGCGGGTCGCCAATCCGGCCGCGTTCTTTCGCTGCCCAGTCTCCGTCTCGCCTCGTTTTCATCTCGTTGCCTCGTTTTCGCGCGCGTGCCTCCGCTTCTCGGCTCTCAGACTCCGATCCGGCTCGGTTACTCGCGGATTCGCGAATTCGCGTCCTCATCGTGCGCGACGAAGAGAATCGCGATCGACGACAAAGTGATTGATTTCGACCAGGAAATTCTTCGACGAACCGAGAATTTGTTCCCAGAATTTCCCGAGCAGCAAACAGGTAATGAATACGATGGCCTTTTTCTCCTTATCAATGACATCATCGCGATATGATTCTTTGCGCATCTTTTTCCAAACGTTTTCGGCGAAAAAAATGTCTTCCTAACCTTTCATCATTGAATAACTCTGCAAATTCGGTTGGATGCATCGATATGTGTATATATGTACGTGTATGTGCGCGTTAATATAAGACTATTACACAGTGATAAAGAGCTCGAGATCATTTATTTCATATGTTTCAATGTGAGAAAGATAACACTTTTACACAACATTTGTGTGCTTCGCTAAATTTTGTCTTTTTACGCACATCAAAAGCGTTCAATTAAATTTGTTGGTAGTATCTTGAAGTTATCTTTCGAGATTACTGGCCGTATAAATCTGCTGCTTTTAATTGGGCTCTTCGCACATATATTTTTTTCTTTCTGTTTCTCTCTCTATAAAATTTAAAAATATATTCGTTTGACAAAGAATATAAAACGATGGTAGGATTAGTTCTCCACTCTTCGATTGAAGAGGCTGCGTCGCTCAGCATGCGACGGTGGTACTTAATTCTGTTTGAAAAACGCGTGTAATACGCATTTATATCAAAATTATACAATGGTGTAATGTAAAGAATAGTAAAATATTCAATCTTTATCTCATTATTTTTCACGTGTGTAATAATTAGTATACTGAAAAGTATTTGTTAACTTGATTAAATCTTTCAATTAAATTACTATTTTGTTAGTTGTATTAATATTTAAGTCAATTACACATTTTGTTAGATTTATTGTTATTTAATTTTAATATTTTTATATATGTTCAATTAACAAGATAATATTTAGTTGAAAGATTTGGTCAAGTTAACAAATTTTTTCAAGTGTATTTTTTTTCTATTAATTTATGACTGATGCAATTCCGCAAATTGCATTAATAGAATCAAATTCGCTAATATACAGCTGATTTTTAATGTCTATTATTATTAATCGTAGTTGATCTGTTATTCTAATAATATAGATTCTCACCAGCAAATCCTGAGGAAGGGGTGTTAAACCCCTCCCTGCCAATAAAAAAAAATCATTGAGTCTTGAGTAAAAGCTAAGCATGAAACAAAAAATATTAATTAAATAAACCCCTCCCTGCAAATTAAAAAAAAATCATTGTTGAGTCTTGAGTAAAAGCTATAAGCATGAAACAAAAAAAAAATATTAAATAATTTTGAACCCCCTCCCCTTATAATCGATGTCAGGATCCGCTAGTGTAGAATCTATATTAATCTATAGAATGTATATTATAGAAAATATGATTTAGAATTAAGTAGAAAAGATAATTTTCTCTTAGAATTTATCCTAAATATCATGAATAATCGTGGAACAATATGGTAAGAATTTTAAGAGTATCTTTGATTTATATTTATCACAGTAAAAAATATTAATATGTATATAGTAAAATTATACGAACATATTTTTTTATATCTTATTGTAGTAGATATTAATATTTCTTATTGTGTAAATATTAATCAGAGAAACTCTTATAGAATTCTACCATATCGTTCCACAATTACTATATGATATTCAGGGTAAATTCTAAGAGAAAATTCTCTCTGTGCAGTTATAATTAAATAAATTATATAAACACTTCATTATTTTCAAACAAAATTGATTAAGCCGCGATATTGATTGAATCGTTTAAAAGACACATTTGTCAATTCAGAAAAAAGAGAGAAAGGGAAAGACAATATATGCGAGATGAATGAAATTATTATCGCGTTCGCGTGTGTAAAAGAAGCAAGTCGCGAGTCATCGCGTGCCGCCGGTTTTGTATAACATTTTTTGACTATCTTAAAGACTCTCTCTCCCGACTGCGCGCGAGATCGTCGTAAAGTTTGTAAACTTCGGTCCGCGATCGGCCGACGATTTGTAGGGGCCCGACACGGTGTTTACTAAACACCGCGAGATAAATATTTCTTCTCGCGCGCGCCGCGCGGAGATAAGCGCGATTTTTCTCCATCATGCGGAAAAAAATCGGCGCGTATCGCGGCCGATCGGCGCCGCCTGCTCTCTCTTTCACTCTCTTTCTATTAAAAGCGAGATTATTCACGTGAATTCAGCTATAAAATCAATACGCATACACATAATCTTGACCGAAACATTATACTGAAAAAAAATTTATTAACTTGTCTAAAATATTTAAATTAAATATTACATATTAAGACTAACAAAATGTTTATTTGACTTAAATACTAATACATGTGCAATTAACAAAATAGTAATTTAGTTTTTGGTCATTCGCGCGTCGCGATTTACTTGGACGCTTCGATACGAGACGGGAATTCAAATAATTGTGAGAGAGGATTTACAGTTATTATCAAATATATTCTCAGATCAATCTTTTCGTGGTACAGAGATATATAAAGTTCGTGCGGATTAACAAACGTGCGACTGTACGCGGCGACTGTCGGTAGCGGAATCTTCTCATGTCAAACGCTCTTCCTATCGTTCCCTTAAAAATTCACCTTCGATAGGCTTCGAAAATGTTCTATCCGTTTATTTCTTTTCTGTAACGTCTCGATGTTTTTCGTCTTTCGTCTCGTCTGTTATATTTTATTTATGTTTATTAGTCAGTGTTCGTATGTATGTATGTCCGTATTTATATACGTGTTTTCGCTATTAATTTCAGGGAAGTATGTGACGATGTAATCGCCACAAGTTGAAAGATTTAGTCAAGTTAACAAATTTTTCTTCAGTGCGCGCTTACGCTATAAAAAGAATAAATTATCACACGCAACGAAAATAAATTGTCGAATAATCTCATTTCTTAGCGTACGCGAAGCTTCATCTTTGATTTAAAAATTCGAGTACGCTTGCACTTGATTAAGATTCGATCTCGTATCTGTATCTATTATACAATCGATTTTCTTATTTGATCTTGATTTTTAAATTTTAATGGCATAGATTCTGGTTTGTATTATTTACTTATTCGACACTTGTAAAAATATTGATGATCATACTCGATGAATTTTCGAGATTGTCTTTGATAATTTTTTTTTAAATTACAAATTTAAAAATTTTTTAAATTATAAAAAAGACGGAGAATATCTATCGGAATATTACAAAAACTTCCTGTAACTTTTAAAGCTAATATATATACTAATATACTTTCACATATTGAAATTTAATTGTTGGAATAAAATATATATATATATATTTGTAATTATTTAGAAATTAAAAGTTGTATATATTAATATAAGCTCGAAAAAACGCGTAAATGTCAAGAGCCCATTCTGATTAGTATAATGTTTATATATTCCTTATCATTCACGACCTCTCGCACAGAAAACAGATCTTTCATTGCAAACATAATTGCGAATTAGTGGATATACAAAAATATATAATGTCGCCTAACAAACACACAATCTAATCGACGAGAGAAAGAGAGAGGCCTGGAAGGAGCAAGGCGAATATAAGAAACGATCGCCCGTCAACAGATATATAAATATCTTCAGCCCGATTAACTGTGCGAATGATTGATAAAAACGTGCTTCATTAACGCGTATAATCGCGACTCGCGTCTAAAAATTGTTTCAAGATATTTGTACTCGTAGAGAGAGAGAGAATGTTCTCTTAAAATTTACCTTGAAAGTTATGGGATAATCGTGGAACAATATGGTAAGAAAAAGTTGGAAGAGTTGTATAAGAGTTTCTCTGATTAATATTTACCACAATAAAAAATATTAATATGTATGTAATAATGTATATATAATAAAATTAATCGAGCATATTTTATATCTCTTTGTGATAGATATTAATATTTTTATTGTGGTACATATTAATCAGAGAAAATTCTTCCAACACCATATTACCCCACGATTACCATGATTTTTACACTGAAAAAAGAAATGTACTGAATTCGAATAAATATTTATTTCAATATTACCAAATAAATCATTTGAAACTAATAATATTGATTTAATGTGAAAAATATTTATTTGATATAAGAAAATTCTTTTCAAAACAAATAAATATTTATTTATTTCAAATAAATGATTTATTAGGCAGTCATTTAGTAATTTTTTTCAGTGGGGGGTAAATTCTAAGAGAAAATTCTCTCTATTTAGGACATCTCAGAGAGAGAGAGAAAGAGAGAGACTGGCTATTAAAAGGGGGAAACGACCCTAAAAAATCGTAAACATTGGTGCAATCAGATGCAGAAGACTTTCGTCATTCTCGCCGGCGGAAGTCCCGATGAGCCCCCGGGGAGCCCTTTTGCTCCTTCTTTCGTTAGCTCTTAGTAAGGTCGTTAAGTGCTCAGCTGTTGCGCGCTCATCATCCTTGCCGAGGAAACCAATCTGAGAAAGTCGGCGATTATAGAGAGAGACGACACTCTTCTAAATGAAAACATAATGCGACGACCGACGGACGGACACTATGTCACTGTCGTTTAGAACCGGTTTTGATATCGAGCAAAGTTTTAAAGTTGTCTCGAACTTTGTTCTGTGTCCGGTGTCGAAAAACATCTCGGCTTCCTCTTGTCGACGTACCGGGAACAGATTTCGACGCGATAGAACAGGATGTCTTCTGATACCGATGTCTGTCAATCAACTTTGTTTTATCTTGCAAGCCGGGTATCCACCAACTGCGCAAAATAACTTTTAATATTATAATTTATATTTATTTTTTTTAATTTTTACTCTCACCAAAAATTATCAAGTTTTACAGAAAAATTGAAGTGTAGTTTGTCTTCTTTTTTCCAATTTTAATCTGGTAAATAATTGAAAACGAAGTATAGTTAATCTCTTGTTAATTGTAAGAGATGGTGTATGTATATAGCTGATATTCTATTTTTTGATGCATGAAATTGATAACGTGTGAAATTTTTGATGAATCAGCTAACTTAATTCGGGACGACACTACATTAATGATTGCTCAGCTTTTTTTACATCGATGTTTTAGATTGTAAATGCTGATATCAGTTACAATACTTTAGACAGCTGACAAGTGATAAAGATTGAATTTACATGCATTGTAACTCATTTATATATATATATATATATATGTATTATTCAGATATGTGTATATGTGTTGTGTATATGTAAATATATTATAGAGATTTTGATAAATGAATGATTAAATGATTATACACAATTGCCGTAGGGATAAATAATAATTTTCGACAATTATAAATAATAATATAAATTGATTATAAATAATCTAAAAGTGATCCATAATATTCCATAATACAATATATAATAAATTCTGATTTACTATATATTATTCAAATATATATTTGTCGTGAAAATAATATACATATATTATTATTATTATTATTATTTTATTAAATATTTTATGATACAAATATGGTATAATATTTTAGAAAATTATAACAATGTTTTCTATTTGGTCTCACTTGTCGAAACTGTATAGAATGGAATTTCTATTAAATTGTGATTTTTGAAGTTATTTTTGAAAAGCGTTGCTTCTAATTAATGCCACACACATTACATATCTAAATAATCCATTTAATTACGTTTATATTAAATTCTCTGTCTTTCTCTTTTTTTCTCGTATTACAAAAATTCATGGAATATGATGTTTATTCTGTTACAGATATTCAAGATATCTTGAAACTTTCGTGTCCATCGATTTTGCCACAAACAATTCTTCTCGAAGATGTAAGATCGCAATATTATTCTTCCAATATACTTTTTCCATTACATCGTAAACTCTCCTTAATGACTTAAAATATTAATGAATTATGCTGCCGATGTGAAACGAGTGTTTTTGTCTACTTTAAAAAGAGTATAAAATACATACAAGCGATCGCCCAACTTCGAAATGCCAGTGAAATAAAATTTCGAACATTAAAAGATTTTGACGATATCTTGGAAGGATTATTGAATCTGACTCGTGTCGAAGCTGTCAGCGATTGTGTCAATTGTGGAGAGTCTACCTGGTGATTGGGTAGAGTTGCAGCAGCAGCAGCATCGTGTAAATGCAGCGGCGACGGCCAACACCTTTATGAATTACACGTCCGTGGACAGGTCCAGGATGGTTTCCCACATCATTCCTGTGTCTGGGGTGAGTAAATAAAATCCGATCATTTTTTTTATCTAATAAAGCACAAAACGTCTGTTATAAGATAGTTGAGTTTGACGAGTTTAACATTAAGGCTCAAAAGAAATTTTAAAAGGAATCATTCATGGTTTCTTGATTTTATTATTGACATTTTTACTATAAGACTATATTTTATTTTATTATTGTCATTTTTACCATAAGACTTTTTCATGGCTACTGCTTGTAAAAAGTATCAAAGAAAGCACACACAATACTTAAAATAAAAAATGTGAAATATGAAACACATATTTAAAAAAAATAATTGAATAAAAATCGATGAATGTTCTTGAATTTGAAAGGATAAATAGTATTAGTCAAAATATTGTAGAATGAGTGGAATACTAATATCTTTATGGTTTCATTTGAATGAACAATTATATGATTAATGTACAGTTTACGGACTATTATTCTATCTACATTTGTAAGTTGTTTCGGCAATCTTCCTTCTAGTTATTTGTTTTTTCATATATGGTTTTTCCTTGTTTCGCGGAACACGTACGACGCGAGAGAACGATCATCGACTTCAGCGTCATATTCGCTTATCTTTCAACAGGGGAACGAAAGGAAAAAGAGTCAAGAAGGTCGTGATCTCGAAAATTTCACAACGACTCGCGAGTCACGTCTTCGTTAAGATTTCTTCTACGACAATTTTGCAATTTTATCGAGAGTTTATTTTATCGAATTTTTTTAGATAGACATTCTCTTATTTTATTTTACCTAAATTAACAAACATCTCAGTCAGTCTTTGCAGATGGAATAACGAAGAGAATAAAATGGAGAACGTATAATTTAAAATCTCTCCCTCTCTCTCTCTCTCTGAAATATAGTTTTCGAGCTACTAAACAAATTTAAGCGAGAAGAAAAGTATATATTATTCCGTTGTCATTGACAGATTTCAACATCGACGTGACATTATCGTGTTGTTATTCGTTTCCATCATTGAATGGATTAAAAGTGGGTTATTGTGTGATCATTCCATCTATCAGTTTGCTAACACAGCTTTGCGAACATGAGCTAAAAATCGATGACAACTCTGATTACTCACTCGTTGGTTCGTTTGTTCGATCATTCGAGTCTTTAAGGATTTCGATAGAGATTAAACACGAAAGGACGAATGTCAAATCTTTCATGTACAACGTAACATATTTGCTAAAAATGAACGAGATTTCGTCGTTTGCTATCTAATAATGCTATCACGAATCTGGCTAGCATATAATTATTATGTACAAAACAAGATCTCTATATAGTTTTTAGATGAACGAATTCATTCTTTTTTGGGAATTTTTATTTCATTATTTAATTAAAAAAGAATTGACTCTTTACAAGCATTAGCATATGAATATATTCTGTTGTAGTAAAAATGGCGATAATAAAATTAAGAAACTATATGAATAATTCCTCAAAATTTTTAAATAAATTTTATATCTATATTTTATATTGATTTAATTTTATATTTGAAGTATATATCTTACGACTGGATGAAAATAGAAATTATGTAATGAGAATAAAATTTTATGTGTGATTATTATACACATTAGCATCTTCTTAATAGATTTTTTTAAATTAAAAATATCAAGACTCATTAATAAAATTATTGTGTTTTCTTTTTAAAACGATTAAAGATAAATATGTCGTATATTTCCTGAGTTTTTTAATTTCGACAAAAGTAATGTACGAAAAATAATGACGATAGCGACTTTTTATCGTCATTCAGATAATTTAAATGTGCTGTCCATCGTGTCGTTGATCCGTGTCTGTCATGTTGATCTCTCATGATTCTTCATATTTTTTTTAGCATTTTTTCAAGTATATAAGAAATAAGATTGTGACTGCAAATCTTGACCGGAAATAAGTTTTTGAAATTATTTTTAATGTGATAAGAAACGCTGCAAAAAACTGGCGATAGAATAATTTGCGCCAAACTTTTAATATATAATGCATTATTTTGAAGAAAATCTGATTTGAAAATTAAGAATATCCTATTATATGTTATCTCTTCTAAACTATCTTCGATATAGACAAGTAGCAACTCTTTTAAAAAGCTATTATTCGTATCTGAAAGTTACAACCAAGATATGATTTATAAACAATATGAATATATGTCTATTTATTTGTATAAAAAATGATAGAAATAAATGTGAATAAGATAATCTTTATGTCATAATCGCTATAAATATCTTTAATTAGCCACTTTTTGACGGTTCTCGAGGATCAATTCTGTGTTTTGCGAGTCGACGATTCGCGAAGCTAATACCTAGGAGCCTCGTAAAACCAGATCGCAAATTAACGATCTAGCGAGACCGTAAGTTTCGTTCTGGCATAATACGATGTCACAACACCGAGTCGGTGTTTGTAAGCTTCCGGTGACGGCACTTCAAACATCGCAAGCACCAAGCCAAAAGTCTTTTGGCCTACCCGCCTCTCTCTTTCTCCTTCTCTTCTCTTCGTTGAGAGAACTTCTTTGCTCTCGCCGTTCGTCGGTGATTTCTCGGTTCGTTTACCTCCGTCGCTCGGACTCTATTACAACTATGTTGTGTAGATGAATATTTCAGAGTGACGTGAATTTACCTCGTCGATGCGCCATCCTTTACCGAAGATTTACCGCGTTTTCCCTTTTTCGAATCTCGGAGTAATTTTTATCCGTTTATTGAATGATACAAATTCGAATGTAATTACATTTTTTCGATATTATTTTTAATTAAATATACAGTTTTTTTAAAATAATTTTCCTTGAGAGAATTCCAAAATTGAATACAAACAGTCGGCACACATATAATTGATTAAAATAATTATCTTCAATTATATTTTTTTGCTCGTTTATTAAGGCGAAGTTTTTCGTATAAGAAAACTGGAATTGAACGGAAGATTTCATGAATTTGATCTTTTCAGGAGCTGCAGCAAGGGAATGGAAATCTGGGCAGCACAGGACTCACTGGCATGCAGGATTCTCCACATTCTTTGAAGATCAAACAGGAACCGTTTCAGTTATCGCCGCCGTCGCCTCTGCCACCTCTTCATCAAGGTAGGTGCCCTCTTCATCATCATTTCTGTCGCGCGTTTTGCGGACGAAAATTTAAACTACCTCCGAACACATTATGAGATAAGTCTGGAGTCTAGGAAAAAGAAAATGCTAGATTAATTTTTATTTATCGAGGATTTCTCTCGCACAATTAAAAGCAACAGGGAGAAAATGTTTGATCAATTTGAATCTTTTTATATATATAAACCCTATTTAACTTTAATCGAATGAAGACAGAGTAAAGAATCGAAGTAGCAATTTTTTCCCCGAACGAATCGTCCTCAAACACACACACACGGCGGTGTTTTGAAAGAAGAAAAAGCGGGTTGTTGCTAAAGGCTGCGTTCTAATAATACAAAACTGTAGTCTCGGGAACGTCGTCGCGAGGGAGGGCCACCGAGGTTTCTCCGCGAGAAAACGACGACGAGACCGACGGCTTTCCTCGGAGAGAGAAAGAAAAGGAGAAGGAATGATATACTGCGAGAGGCCTGCGTGTGCAAGAAGAAAAGAGAGAGAAAGAGAGAATAATCCTCAATGTTTCCGCGCGGCATTTAGTCACACGTTTTATCTCTCTCGTCTCTCTATGGCGATTATAAAGTCTTCTCCGCACATTGGCCGGGGACGAAATCGTCGTCGCGTTCTTCTAATTCCGCGGGAAACATCGTCGAGAGATATTTCAGTCATTTATCTCGCGGTGACGAAATGCAACATTATCCATTTAACGTTTCGACGATTTATAATCAATCTGTTTACTTATGGATATTTTATGTAATTAACGCGTAGGTGTATTTGCTTCTCGATATATTTAATAAATATTTTATTTGAGGTGTACCCGAATAGAGCGAAGATATAAACTACTGTGCATATTACTGCATTGGATAATGGAATTGTTCATTTTTTTTATTCGACGAAAGATGAAACTATAAATAATTAAAGCCATATCTTATTCGCGATAAAATAATTTCTTTCTTAATTATATATCTACGGTGACCATATTTTCTGAGAGAATTAAGGATAAACCTGAAAATTTTAGAGCTTTGTGGAGATCGACATGCAAAAAAATCCTGTTTTATCAGAAGTCTACACAGAGTTTGCTCTTAGAATTTACCCTGAAAATCATGATAATCATGGTACATTATGATTGGAAGAATTTTATTAGAGTATCTCTCTGATTAATATTTATATGACAATAAAAATATTAATATCCACAATAAGATATAAAATAGTTGAATTAACTTTATTATGTATATAATTTATATAATAAAATTTATTATGTACATATTAATATTTTTCATATGGTGGTAAATATTAATAATCACAGAAAAACTCTAATATATTTTTATATAGTTTGAAACTAATTCGAAACATGTTGAAATAAATCCTTGGACATCAAAACTAAAGGATAAAATTGACTTTTGGAAAAGTGAATAAATTTAAAGCAACAGTTATGAAGAATGGTCACCGCACGTATATATTTCTTTGAATAAAGTTTGACATATCGAGATTTCTCGCGCGTCGAAGAATTTCGTATTATCGCTGTCAAATGATCCGAGCACGTGGTTCTGCGCCTCTCTTTCTTTCTTGACTTTTCGCCACCGAGAGACGACGGTGGTCGACTATATCGCTGGTAATAGGGTATAAGTATAACGCGATTGCCCGAGGCTCGTCTTTCCGTAGGCGATCATCGTCACGAACGGTCGGCGAGGAACATCTACGAGGAGAGGATAAGGGAGAAAGAGAGAAGGAGCGCGATAAGCGCGCAGCTCCTTCGTCGTCGGGATCGTCTTACCGGACTTTATTATTCGCTAATCGCTGAATGTCCGGATAGATAGATAGGCCGAGATACGACCTCGCCGACACGACTCCCGATTAATCGCACGTCGGCCTCTTACAGGGCTGAAATCTTAGAGGGATATCGATGTCCTCCGGTGTGTTATACGCAGATACAAATATATATGTGTGAGTGCGTATGCGTTGTCTAATCGTTAATAGTTTCTTGGTTAGCCTGCATTCTCTCTCGAAGATAAGTCTCTATTAGAGACGTGCAACAGTTGCGAGATACATACTTATTCGATGAATCAAAGGATAAAGGAACTTTCGCGTAAATTCTCTCGCGTTATAAATTCGTAATATTCGATAATCAATGTTGATGTAAACTGTCATATTTATTATTGTTGGTATTAAATTTAATATATTTCTCGTATAGAGAATCGAGAGAGAAAGAGAGGGAAACGTATATTATATTTAGTATCGAATTTAGTATTACAAATTTAATATTAAATAATAAAATACATTACATTTGATATTTTAAATAGTAAATATTGAATAGAATATTAAAAATGCGGTAAAAATAGTTATATGATAAAAAACAAACATCAATATGAATATTTTCATAAGATTCAAGAAATAATTAACAAATGCACTTGTAATGCTTGCACTTTGAGTTTATAGAATAAAACGGGGGATAAACTTTGTTTTTACCAAGTTAAAGAAGAAAAAGATTCGTATTTAATCTGTCGCGAATTATCTTTCTCTTACCTCTTTTATTTACATGTTTTTATTTTATATCTCTGTCAATCCAATCTCTCTCTCTCTCTCTCTCTCTCTCACTCTCTCGATTATGTCATTTAACGACCCGATGATTACGCGACGTTTAAAAACATTGCCCCGAAGATTGTTACACGAGAACATTGATTATGAGACAAGAGAGAAGACACTGTCGCGAAGGGGAAAAAAGAATCTCCGAAGACGGTCGGGAACGAGATGCTGAGACAGGAGACAAAAAATAACGAGCGTTTCTCGTGTTCTCGGGTGGATATCGGGGTGTTTAGAGCACTCGTCCGTAAGTTATGATGGCTAATCTGGGAAGGCTGCGCGTGCTTTTCGGAGCGAAGCCGATGTATCAACGACGACAGCTTCTTCGTGGATTCCACTCATGGAGGTCGCGACTTTGGAGAGCTCGCATTTAGACCGGGGAAATATTAATCGATATATTCATCCTTCTTCTCGTCCCTTTAATCGGTATCGCGAATTCGCGAGCGAACTCTTCCGTTAATAATTTTTCACCTCTTCATATTCAATGCAAAGCAACCACGTGTTTTTGACACTTGCGATTTCGTTGACAGAAGGTTAAACTTATCATCTTATTACAGAGAGATTTTCTCTTAGAATTTACTCCGAAAATCATGGTATTGAAAGAATTTTATAAGAGTTTCTCTGATTAAAAATATCCACCACAATAAAAAATATTAATATGTACATAGTAAAATTAATGTTAATTAATATATTTTACCACAATAAAAATTAATACCCACAATAAGACATAAAATATGATTAATTTTATTATGTACATATTAATATTTTTATTGTGGTAAGTATTTTTAATTAGAGAATCTCTTATGAAATTTCTCCAATACTATATTATTGTCCACGATTATGATTCCCTTTCAGGGAAAATTCAAGGAGAAAATTCTTCCTGTGTAGAGACAAGTTTCTCCTCGAAAGAAAAGCATTTGATTTTGTGTGTACGAAGTGCAGAATATTATTCATAATTTTTTGAGGATATTTTTGCTGGATCGGATTCGAAATGGACTCTCGATCGAATGATTTATGTCGATTGGTACAAAGTTGCAATGATGTGATCTACATTGTTGCGAACATCTATTCGCCGTTTAACCACGATTATATACGCAATGCAAGTTTATCGAGGCAATAAAGGCCGTACGATAAAGTCATACGAAATAGCTGACACGTCTAATTATAGGGTAGCCGCGATTATCGCTCTTAAACGCTGATCTAATTATTATTATTGCGTTGCTCCGCGGTCTGATTATATTACAGTCTATTGTATGATTGTGGAAATCTTATTTAATATATCTGAGTGATATAATGAGTGAAATAACTTGGATGATTCTTGAACGACAGAATAATATCTATATATATTTCCCAATACTATTATTATAATTAATAATACTAATTTATCTCGGATACACTCATCTAACGTACACGAATGTGGAATAATTATTTATATATTTCAATATATCTGTCTTTTACGTTTGTCTTCCAGAGGTCACGAATTTTTTAAATCTATCATTCGTATCGCAAAACCGCGAGATAAGTTTTTCTCGATTTAACCAACTGCTATTACACTTGATCGCAATTTTCTTGCTTTATCATATTAATGTAAAATGACTCTTTCGGACTTTTGATCAGATGTGATAGATTTTTTTTTTTAAAGAAAGTACGAATCGATGACCCTGTTTATTTACTTGGAAATCAGGTCAGGGATATAATCATCGCGTATATTTAAGTATCGAAATATTATGCGTAGTAAACAAGGGCAGTTTGGCAGGCGATCGCTAATTTTGCGATAAGGACTATCGCGAGTGTTATCGCAAGCAAAGAGCGACGTTATACATCATACGTTCTATAGAAACTGACAGAAGCTACCATAGCTTCGCGATAAGCTACGGTAAAGCCAGAGCTAATTGGGATAATTAATTATCCCTGCAAGAGCGAATTTAAGAATACCGATTTCGCGAATTATGCAATCGGGTGCATGGATAATCGAATAAAGTCGGCGCAAACGAGATTTGATAATGGAAACTCATACACATAATGTGCCAAATCCTCCCTTCGTGAAAAGATATAGTATCGCGTTTATAATTCTCTTGTTAAATAATCAGATCGCTCGACTTCTGCGCTCATTTATGTTTTTGCGTTCTCGTTTACGATATCGAGAGGAAGGGAGAAAGCTTCTCTCTCTTTCTGTTAATCAATGCGAATGGCGGGTATGTATACGCACAACGCCTGTGCAAAACAGCACTCGAGCTGCATATTTACTATAACAAAACACGATAGCGCGGAGAGATAAATCTCGTCATCTCTTTCGCGAGAAAAAAATCGAGTCGCTGAAGGAGGGATATCACGTTTCTCCTCTTGTTCTCCCGAGTCGAAATTCTCTCTTCGTTTCCCTTATCTCGCGGAAATTAATTAACGGACGT